GTTTACCTTTAGTGATGTGATATTACAGTCGAAACTGGAATAAGTCCAACCAGAAATCATATAGAAAACAGGACAAATTTGATAGGTAAACGTGCACCTCAAAAAAAGAAAATAAAAGAAGCAGCCAGGATGTGACTGACACGGGGCACTTCCTGCGCTAAAACAAGGACACCTTGGTTACTTGATTCCAGTCTTGGTGAGCACTGGCTGGCTGCCATTGGGCATGCATACTTATTAGAATGCTTCAGGATGAATGTCCAAGAGCCCCCAGAAAAATGCTGTCATGTTCCCAAGAACTCCAGAGTTAAAAGACTGATCATCACCAGAAACGAGGGTTCCCCCTAACCGAAAAGAGAAAGAAAGAGGAGGAGACAGAAGTGTTTGTCCAAACAGTTTGCCCACCATAGTTCAGCTCCTCCAACAGCCCCACTTCCCTATCCATATCGCCCCGGCGTGAAACAAAAACCCCACTAGTCCGCACCGGTCCTGGGCCCCGGTAAGGGTACACCCGATACACCGGCCAAAGAGATACGCCTCGGATACCTTCCTGTCATGAAAGGTCGATACCACGGTGTGGGAGCAGATCCAACAACGGTCTCTGGTATCTGAGCACCGATGAAACGAACACCGTAAGCCGATACGCGCAAGCCTCTTAACCGGCGCTTGTTGCGAGGGGAAAGCGAGCCTCGCAAAGCGTGCAAGGGTACACCGGCGAGTGAGAGGCCGTAAATTTGTGCTGGCTCCCACATGTGTGCTCGGCGGTATTGGGTTTTGTCAGGGGCATTAGTCATTAACCTAGATACCTCATCGGTCTCCAGACTGGTTGGCAAGGAAGGAGAAGGGGATCTCGGTCCGCTGGTAGTCGGCCAGACAGACCTACAAATTTATAGGCCAGTTTGACAATTAATCTGGGGACACAGAAGAATGGGAACAAGTGCAGGTTTATAACAAACTCGTGAAAACATATGCGAAAGTTCCGGTCAGGTTGTGATTGCACAACGTGGTTGTGCACTGTTATGTCAAGTTAAAATGAGCAAAACCAAATAACTCATATGTCCTTAATATCGATAGCAGGTTGATAAAGATGAATTACATGTATTTAAGTGTCAATTCAATGTTAAGCCTAAAAAAACTTAAAAGCTAATTCCTTACAAATTCTTTACAACTGCAAATTCGTTTTCTCAGGTTACCCTATATGTAAGTACATGATGTAATTCCTGAAAAGCATAACTGCTGAATCTTTCCCCTGGGTAATGATCCAGATGGATGGGATGGGATGGGAAACGGTTTCTTTCAGTGCAACATTTATGACAACAAGGATTGAAACATGATCGGGAAGAACTGGGCACAGTCCTTAATACACTGGATTGGTTCTTTCACCAGCACATTCGGTATTTAGAAGAAAACTAAGAGAGAACCCAGCAGCCATGACTGGCAGTTGGGTTTGAACTATTCTCATGGAAAACCTGTCAAAGTTGTTTTGTGCATTTTAAGGAATAAGACCACTAACAAACTCTTCCAACCACTTACATACATGGACATGTACGCTACAAGATTAGACCATGATCCGGGTTACATGTACATGTCCTCTACCCACATTTGGTTGGACTAACATTTTGCTGTTCGATGACAAGAACGCCGTAATATTGGAGTGCAACTGAGACCCCGACACCCACACACTGGTGAGACAATTGATTAGGCTGTGCAATGCAGCTTTGAACACATCCCAGAGTTGGTTGGTCTGATCATCATTTTTCCCCTCTCTCATTATTTCTGTTTCCCAAACTGTGTGTATCACATGTCACCAGACTGTGCCCCCACCACATGCAACGTGCACCGGAGCTGATGATGTTGCCAGCAAATGCAACTTGCACCTGTGAGACTTGCTCATATTCAAGCCGAGTCGCTGCTTTATGTGAAATGAGTTACATTATTACATGAGTTACATTATTACATGTACATGCGTTTGAAATGAATTTAGTGTCATGCATTGCATACATGCGTGTGCTGAATATTTCTGAATTACAGAATTCTCCTGGAAAGTAGATCTTTTGGTATATCTTTTCGGTGAAAGCGTTCCAGGTACATGTGTGGTACATGTACATGTAATTGTATTTGTAGCAATGTTTGAAGTTCAGAAAGACAATGGACCACGGAGATGTCAACCGGAGACCTGTTGATAATGGCGTGCGTGTTCTTGTGAAAAAAACACCTTGATTTTGCGCACTTATCAGCAAATCAGCATTGTCCCGTGAGCCCAAGTTTGTGGAGCCGTCTTGGCCCAAAGTATTACCTTGCAAATGTGTTTGCTCTGGAAATAAACTTTGTGCTCAAAGGATTCAGTGTGCTCAGCATTTCAACGTAACCAGCCTTCATGTGTAGGCCTACAGGTTACAATGTGTGTTCCCCACTCTGCATTGACGTACATGTACATGTGGGCTCCTTGTGCCAGACTTTCAGCCAGCACAGCACATGTACTGGTAATTGTGGTAATAACCCATGAAACTTGGAGGGAAAAAAACCTGAAGAGTTTGCTTCAGTCATCCAGATGTGTAGTTTGCCTCCTGGCTGCCCCTCCCCCCTGTAAGTTTGTCTTCAAGCCAGATGGTGGTTACAAGCAGGGTGGTGGTTGGTTTCAGGTTGTCGGGAGAAGGCGTTGGTGTTGGTTATTATAATTTGGCAGAATCTGCAGTATCACTTTAAGCCAGACAGGGATGTCTGTTCCTGTATCGTGTTACGTGTTACTGTAGACTTGTATTTGAAAATCATGTAGATTGGTGGAGAGCTGCGAGGCCAACATACAGTGTTTGATAGTCTTAGTTCTTCACGCCCCTGATTAAAAACTCATCCAAAAGTCATACCGCTGTGACGACTTGTCGAGCCCTCCCCACGAACGCGGGCGCTGACAAGGCAAGCGGGCTTCATATCAGCACCCAAGTGGACACATATCCGCGCTGCCCCACTTGTTACAGTATTGGCTACAGCCGGCCCCAGGCGCTGCTCCGGTTCTGGTTTCGCCGCACAATTTGCCGAGTGCGTCTCCTTCCGGCGCCGTCGGCAGTGCGGGCCGCTTTAGGAAGCAAGCCGCGCGGTGTAAATGGCGGACCGCTGGGCAAAGTGGGCCCTAGACTCTCCCAGCTTCTTTTTTTTTAGGGGGGGTCCTTCATCCCTCGGAGCATTCCGTGAGGTTTGAGAACGTGGACGCAGCGATGATGACTTGACATTGCATGGTTTTGATCGAGTCTTTTAAAAACACCATCTCCCCCCCATCTCTCCACCTCATCTCTTGTTCACCAAAAACTGCAGAGTGGTGGCAAGGCTGCAAGCAATGTTTTTATTATCATTGGTGCAGGAATTTATTTACAGGCATCAGTTCAGGGTTTGAAGGTGTACATAAACGTCAGAGGCTACATGGAACATCAAAGGAAACCCAACAAACCTGGTGAGTTTACTCCTTCAAAATGCCAACACGGACGGGCCATAGTTTTGAAGAGTAAGTAAAGAATTTTAGTTGGATGGACTTGGAATTTTTATCAGGGAGAGGCACTTTTGTTGGCCAGGAAATGATGCCCCCTATCCCTGAACTGAACTGCGGTTTTGAGTTTGGATAACTGTTCCATTGTTTTGTGTTCTGGGAAGCAGCAGTGCATGAACATATGCTACACAAATGTTACAGACTATGAAGCTTGTCCTTGTCCATGTATGCGTATTCACAGAGTTCATATCTGTGCTCTCAGTATGCAGGAGTTGGTGGTGCTTCACATTAAATGGGTACTCAGACTGGGTCATCTTAGCAACTCGGCACTTGTTGGTGTTGACATTGACCATAACCGTAACAGATTTCCAGTCTCTAACTACACTTGTGCATGTACCGTATGTTGTATGCATACAGTAATGTACATGTAGGTGAGAACTGGGGGACCAAAAGATATGTCGGCCATAAGGGGAGGGAAGAGACGCAAAAATTTCCTCACACATCAGCTTGGTCTGCCATTTATTAAGGCCAAATGGACAGTCATGTGCAGCGTCATTATCTTGGTCAGACAAACAGGCCAAGTGGTTGGAAGACGTCAGGTGTTCAATCCTAATTTCTCCCTTTGGGAGGTTGAAATAGTTGATTTTGGCATCTAGAAGTATCCTAACTTTATCGATTGAAATGTGGGAGTCCATAAAGTAGTTCCATTATCTGCTTGGTTGTGCAGCGCATTTGAGTATTTTTGGAATAGAATTGGCGCTTAATTCATTCATTTAATAATAATAATAAGTATACGCCATAGGATTCAGCAATATTCTTCAGCAAGGCTGAATGTAGTTTTACTCTTTGTGCATGTATTTGAATGTTGGGGGGGACGCAGGACCAGAAACAAGGGCAAATTGAGGTTATCAGTATTGGCTGCATGAGGCTGGTACGGTAGGAGAAATGGCTGCTAAAGTACAACACGAACAGTCAGTCGGGCTGGCATGTTGCCGTTGGTGAGTATGCACACCAAATTTCAACCTGCCCCAGAGTTTTCCCCGATTTGCGACCTGCTGAATGCATGCACCGTGACTCTTTTTCCCTCAGGGCACCGAAGATTTATTTTGATTTAAAACAAAGTGCATGGCAGGTACCCGTACATGTATTTTCTTTCTGCTTCCTGTTTGAAGTTGCACCTTGGGTGACCTTCTGTGAGATGATTATTGTGTGACATGATTATTGGTCCTCTTCAAAAAGAATTGCACTGGAAAATTGCCAAATCATTCAGAAAGGTTCACAGATGTGTAATTGAAATTTGCAAAGAGTGAGCATTGTTTTTATCCTTATCAAATGTGGATGTGCGGAGAAGGTAACAGAAACTGATGTACATGTATACATGTTCCCGCATGATGCGTCAAATTCATTTTAACGTCTAGTCTCAGTACTTTCACCCATCACTGGATGTGCATGTAGGTCAAGATTTCTCCCTCGCAAACTGTGGTCTTCATTGAAAAAGTGAGTCCTCTTTTCCCATTCACAGAATTGATGTCCGTCAGAAATTGGCACATTTATCATTCTTCACTGCCAGCCTGGGGCAATGGCCATTATTACACCGATAATTATATCATTTCAGCATTGGCAGCTTCAGGGAATCACCGGGCGTCCACAATTACACATCAATCACTGAGCCATTTTACAGATGGGAATCTTGTCGGGGGAGGGATTGTATCCAAAAGGCTCGGGGGTTTGTGTGCGTATATGTGTATTCATGTGTCTTCGTTTCGCCCAGTGGTGATGGACAGACATCATTGGGAGAGTTGAGTTAGCAGGCATCAAGTACAACGCCAACAGGAATACAGGGCTCTGGTAGCAGTAGTTACATCAGCTCTGGCTGACGATGCCTGACCAATGCACTGTGCACATGGTGGGTTGGTTATCTAAGGAAGTAATTGTGGACAGGGTTAGCCTTGGAGGCGCAAAAAGCAGAGAGGAACATTGGCTTCTGGTGGAACGATCTCATAGCAATGTCAGAACCCAAAAAGTACAGCCTGGTGGGTGTGCGTGTGTGTGTGCCAGTATTGCCCATGGCTTTTGTATGCGTAGTTAAACAAGCAAGAGAGCCTAAAATATCACTGGTGGCAAGCAGTCAGCTTTTGGAGAATTACTTATTTTTACTTTGGCCACATGACTGAATGACGCAGCATTATGCCGTTCATCTACATTTAGGTACAAAGTGCATGACATTTTTAATGTTCAGAGGGCTGCATATTTCATGACAAGGGAATCTGTGAAACTTTAACCTGCCAGGCCCTTCACAATTACCAGATGGGGGAGAATTTGCAGGATTAAGGAAGGCACGGCTACAAAGAATGTGCCATTGGGCTGCTGCAGAATGGTGGATTTTGAAGGATTTGGAAAGTCCACCGACAAATACAGCTGGGGAGTACAGGTGAATTCAATTATACCTGCACACTTAGGGCTGAGAATGTCACAGATCATGGAGGCCACGGCCTTTTAAATTGACCTGGTCTTGGCCTCCTTCTGTCCCCTCTAGAAACATTTCCACATGTAGTCACACTTGCTGGAGCAAGTGCCTTCTTCCAAGGCACACAAGGTCTCCCCACTTCAAGGGCACGCATTACCAGCCAGGCTGTTGTGTGTGCAAAGCTCGGTGATTGCCATGGATAGGGCAGTCTGGCCTTATCAGTCAGTCAATCAATTAAGGTCTAATTGTCCCATAACTGTCCTCCCTAATCCCCAATTAACACCTGTGGCCTGTGTACACATCATCCCAACCCCAACTGTATAATCTGGTCACGTAGTATGGGTACATGCGGATTAAATGGTGCATGACACCCATCAATGAATTGTACTGCAGGGTACATTTCATTGAATTGGCAGAACTGTTGTTAGAACAAGGTGGTGTGGTTGCATGTGTTGGGGAAAAGGGGAGGGGAGACACCTATATATGGCCAATGTTTGAAGTGTTGCTGAAATTCAGCAACATTTTGAAACTAGCTGTTGTCGTATGAAAAAGGTTATTGCACTTTAAAGCTAATGCAGTCTTTTTATCCCCCAAATTCGAAAGTAGGCGTACATGTAAAGTTCATGAATACTTCCCGCATTCTGTCCTTTGCAGTGTACCGGTACAACTAATTGTTTACTGTCTAAACACTTGTTTTTGCACATGAAAAAAAAAATCTAGTCAGAAGTGAAATCAAAAGTCAGGTTTCTGACAATCAAAAATATTGGAAATTAGATGCCTGGAATGGTTGGTAAACTGAAAAATGGGGCAGTTTTGCATTGTTTATGTATCACATTTGGTCAATCTGAGCCTCGCCTTTGACATTGTCTCCTGTGCTCCAAATAAAAAGGGGGATAATTAACCTGCAGTAGTATTGATGGTTGCTGTGGACAAGGATGGAAAAATGGGCTTTGTAATCTAGACATGGCCTAAAGGCTTGTACATGTACGTACATGTACTTAACAAAAATGCCGGTTGAATTTGATGTCAAGCAGTATCTGCCCCCAAACTTCATCAGGGCATAACTTACATGTACATGAGTACTTGACATTGTCACCAACCGCACTCGATGTCAGGGGTGCATGGGGGGGGCGACAAGGGCAGAGGTGATTTTTGTTTTGTTTTCAGTGTGTTTCCTCTCTTTTCCTTCCACTCTACGTGTAAAAGCAGCAAGCTAGGGTCTCAACCCTCAGAAAGGGCATAAGAGGCTACATTGAACAAAAATTCCAAAATGTTTCGCCCCCCCAAGAAAAGAACTTTGTCTCCTTCCCTGAAATGTTGTTTCTGGATCCACCTTCACTGACACATCCGTATTGAGCACTGAACTGTTCACATATTATTGAAGAGAACGTGAATCTATTTTTTTGCTAAACATGGCAGTAAGATACTGTCAGGGGGATGTATCCACATACCTTCATCCTGTCCAAACATGACCAGTCACTGTCCATTCAAAAACTGCTAGTTTCATGTCTACTGGAAGGATCCCCGTTATAGCCACCCACCTGTCATTATCTCATATCCTCCCTGGGGTTCAATAACGTTTTTTAACTCCCTTGGCAGCGTTGACCAATTCCTTTGGAATAACAAAGTTTGTGCCCCTCTGGTGAAACTCAATAGAATAATGGGGATTGGGGGACACTACGGATCGTACATGCATCTTACCTGTATGCACCAGCGGTCAGTGACAGTGAATTGGCCACCTGTAATGAAAAACTTGGTAGATTTAAAAAAGAAAAAAAAAAACAGATAGCATGTTACAAATTTTATGGTGAGGCATTTTGAGCTCCGTTTTGGTTGTTAAGTGTGTTGATCAACATTGCATTCTGGGTGTAATTTAAAGCAGTCTTCATTTATCTTAAAAGTGTATCACGTGTACAGGGAAGTTAAAAGAAAATTCCTTCAAACTTGCAAGAAACTTGGCGTAGAGTGTCAACTTGGGTTACCGATGCTATTAAACCAGTTGTCACCAAAACCCAAGCCCTGTTTTTTTGCAAATAATATAATCTGGTTATGTCAGAACTTGAAGTTTTTTTTTCTTCCTCCGTGTTGGTTGCTTTCTGGATCTTCCCTCCTCCGTAATGGCGACGGCTTTTCGGTTGTCCATATTGCATCCGATACATGGCTCTCCAAATTGCCTTAATTTCCTCGACCATCGGAGGAGTGTGAAGAGTTTCTTAACGGGAAGGTAAGACTAATAGCCCCTCGGGGCTGCCTGTGGCGCACTACTTTGAAGCTAAAGACAGGTATAGCATGGCACACCCTATCCCAAGCTACCGTCCGGAGCTGTCTCTTCAGACGCTTAGCCGTATAGATCACTAGCCAGAAATTCTGCAAGTGGCCCATCCTAAAATTTCTCATCCAACCGGTTCTTAATCATATCGCTTTACGTCAGACAAATTTCACCAGAGAATGCGATCCCGGGCATGATACACTCCCGCGCCGGGGATATTTAGTAAAACAAGGTGGCAATTTCTTTGTTGGTTGGTTGAGACGGTGGTGAGCGCTCGGGCCCTGGCACGTGACGGCGGTGGAAGACAGATTTACCTACTCGAGCTGAAATGATAGATTTGTTTGTCGCAGGCCGGTGGTAAGATGAGCAACCCTCGTTTGCGGGAGAGCGATGATCACAGATTTGTTTCATTTTTTGGTGTCCACGCTCTGCAAGTATCTTTCTTGCCATCTCTGTGGACGCCCGACTTTTTTTTTTGTTTTTTCCAAGTGAAGGTAATGGTTGAACACGAGTAGGCCTGTGATTGCATCCCATCAACCCCTTTGAGTGACTAGCCAGTCCGTACTAAAGCCTCTCGTGGCACGTCGTCGCGTTGCACCGACTGACGGGACTCAGATCGCCCGACGAGGGAGGTTTTGTCACCTTGACGTGCGCAGCCTGCCAAATTGACAGCGTGGCGAAGGACACGGAGGCTAGCCAGAAATAACAATTAATTTGGCCGGGTGGAGTGTGTGTTGTCCCTCTGAATGAGTGCGTGCTTCAACCACCCGCTGCTCCTGCAGGGACTGTCGAGGATCTGGTTTGGACTGAATCGTGAAATGATGCGGTCACATGTGGGTATGTATGTGTCGCTGTGTCATGAAAAGTTCAGAATAAGTGACTGAATGAGTACCAGAAAGCTGACCACTAGCTAGACTGGTAGGATATGGTATATGCGGCTCTCCTGATGAAAAAACAAACTTGTTGGGGAAGTGTGTCATTGAGATACATTTATGTTTACAAACTCGGTGGACATCATGCTTTACATGATAAGTGTTTCTCACTGCATTTTTTGCCTACTAAGTATCATTCATTTGCAACCGCATCAGCTCACTTCTTCTGAAGATAGAGACAGTCACACTTTGTCGAGGGCATATCCAGATCCAAATTTTCCAACGGAGCACAACTTTTCTTCGAGGGGCGAGGCAAAGAATTCAGATCTTTCAAATGTTCGCCTTTCCGGGGAGGGTGGCTGAGGCTACATTTTTGGGGCTTTGTACCATGCTTTTGAAAGTAAGAGAAGTGAAAAGAGTCCCCCTTCCCCATCACTTGTCTCTCAATTTTTTGACAAAAAAAAAATTTGGGGAGAGGGGCTTTTTGGGGGAATTGCCCCCATGCCCCCTAGATCTGCCCTTTGTATTTTGTTGCCATCTGTATAAGGAAACTACCACACGTAAGTGCACTGCTTCGGAATGTGCTTGGTAGACAGCATGTAAATTAGGGGGGTTAAATGCGTTTCTTTGATCGTGGGGTTTGTACAGAGAGAGTTGTTGTGTGGTGCTCGAGAGGAAAGAAAAATCAATTGATTGGAAAATCAAGAAACTGACAACAAATGTATTCTGTCTGTTAAATAATCTGACTCCAGTTTCTTGATGTACATGTAGTAGTCTTGTGATACTGTTGCCGCGTCTGTTCTGTTATGCTTTTCATGTACCAGTGGTTGTGTGTGCGCTGCCTTGTTCATTTGTTGATGCTCTGTAATTTTTTGTGGAACTGTCCAGAGAAATGGAATGTAGAGTAATTATTCGAATGTCTTAAGTTGAGCAGAGCACATTGTTGTGGGAGCGTGCCCTGTTGGAAACCTATCTATGCTTTAATGTTTGATCTTTTAGCAAGGAATGTGTAGCCTTCATCACATTGTCTTTGAGGTACATGTACATCTAGTAACAGGCTGTTGGGGAAAAGTTTAGGTATTAAGTAGTAGAGTGCATGAAGTGAAATACTGTCGTTTGTACCAAATATTAGTGTTACCCGTAAGAGACAGTTCTGTCACAAGAAAGTATTGGTAAGCTAGTTTAGTTTTCAAACAGCATGTGCCTAAAATAAAGCATGTATTCGGGACCAGCAGCATGTGCATGCGAGGTCTGTGCTCTAAGCACGGCAATGTGCCGTCTGGCAAGTACATGTACATGTATGCTTTCTTCTCAAATGCCCTTCTGTTTTCTTTTCGAAACACCAAACTGGCTCATTGTTCATGTTCATCACTATTATTGTCAAAGCCTGGTTCCTGTCACATACTGGTACATGTACATGCACAGTGACTATTCACTTAGTTACATGTACTTCATTGTCCAACTCGCGTAGCCCGTGCTTTGCAGAGGAGTCACTGGTGTCCCCAGTTGGGAAACCTTGTATGAACACACGGCACCGGCCCCTCCACAGCAGGAAGAGTTTATTTCTTTACTGTTTGTTGGCTGTACATGTATGTCATTATACCGGTATGTTGACACATTTCTATCAGTTCACCACTCGTCAACAAAAACAAAAGATGATGTTACACAGACGACTGTGATTGGTTAAATCAATGCTAGTACCTGCACTTGTGCATATCTAGCATTTTATAGCCCGTGGTTCAGATGTTCAGTTGGTTGGTACGACCACAAATTGGTGTAGCTGATGGGCCTGATCAAATAATCTTTGCAGTCACCCCATATATGAACAATATATGATCTTTCTTTACAGTCTGTTGATAATTTCACGTTTAGACAGTGGTATTTTCTGTCTCATTTACGCTGGTGGAAGATTGTTTCAAAAGGGAAGCAAATTTGCAGATTTCAAATAAACAGGATTGACTGAAAGCACAGTGTGATGAAGTGATTGTGGTGATTTGACTGATCATCGTGCTCAGTATATATTCCCAACATTCCACTGCAAGAAATGGCAAGTGACGTTGTTCATTCCACACTTCAAAAAACAAATTGATAATATGTTTTTGTCGGCACAGAATAGGCCGTCTGGCCATGATGATACGTTACTCTTTAGCTGTGGATTATTTATTAAAGTGGTAACTTAAATTACAGTTGCCTCACAAACTGTACCAAGTAGCACTGGTTGATAAAGATTCAAGTTGGCCTTTTTATGTTGGTTCCTTTTCAGGATCCTTTTTATTTGTCCAAGTGTTGATGTTTTCCTGCCCCATTTTCCTTTTTGTCGACCATCTTTTCTGCAGGTGGTACATTTTGGCCAACCTTTCTCTAACCTCTGTCCATATTGTACATGTAGTACTTAAAGGTTATGGCAGGTCACATCAACCTGTCGGCATTTCCATATCAGTCTTTTTTCTCTCCGTTCCTTGGATGCAAAGTGCTTTGCCGTTAAATGTCTGAAAAATGGCATTTTCACATCTGTGCTCCAGAAACCAATCCATTTCGTTGTGTTTTGGACCAGTATTTGGATAGTTTTCTTTTTCTTGTGCTGTAAGAAAATTATTCTGAGAGTGGACAGCCACATGCACGAGATAAGGTTACGGTGACATGGTGTAACTAGTATTTATTCATGTGGCAGTCCATCTAATCCCTGTACGCAACTTGTGGTCTCAACGTCTACAAATCTCTATTGATGAATTGCATGCAACTTTGGGATGGAGTAAATTGTGCAATCTCATGAAAGAATGCCTTCGAAATGTTGAGTCTGTTGCTGGAAAGGTGCATTGAAAGCACTGTTTTGTCTACGGTTACATATATTTGTATGAAGCAAATTCAACTGCAATGAATCGTTCGTTTTCCAAAGTGATTGGTGACAGAATAACAGCTTTTCAAATTCCAAGTTTTCAGTGGATGAATCAGTAATATATTTTCTCTTTCTTTATAAATGCAGATGACAGTACTATAAACCTAGAAGCCAAAGATATGGACCTGTCCAAAACCAAAGTGACCAATGCATCCACAGTGGCCAGACCACCTGGCCTCCTGGATGACTTCCGGAAGTGCATCGCTGGCTATGATGACACTGATGTGCTGAAGGAGGAGAGTGTCCCCTTTGGTCTGCTTGAGGCCAAGTATCCGAGGGGAACGGGACAAGATGTGGGACCGGCCACGCGGAAGCGTAAACACGAGAAGGAGGAAGGCTTCCGGGAAGTGACACGCTACAACATCTTAGATGGTACCATCTCGCACCACACGGAGCTGAGCGGCCTGAAAGCGGCCTTGCTGCGGCAAGATGCGCAGGCCACGCCCTCGGATAGCAATGTCCTCAGAGCGCTCCTCCAGCAGTCTGGCTCCTTGGTCAGGCCTCGAACTCCTGATGTCGACAGCGTCTCAGCGGGGAGCCCCAGCCAGGACCCGGAGTCCCCTGAGAAGTTCTACCCGTGCAAAGTGTGCAAGAAGAACTACGTCAGCAAGTCGAGTTTGCGGAAGCACTTTTGCATGCCGGGCGTGGGGCCCAGCAATGCCCCCGGCGTGCCTTCTCAGCAGCTCAACGAGGATGAGATGAGTCCCAGCACAGCGATACATGCCAAGGACGAACAGTATATGATGAATGGCTCTGTGGGATCACCAGCGCTCCTCACACCAGTTCCATCACCCTACGACGATGCAGATAAAGGAGATGATATGGCCGAAGATGGTTCCCTGACTCCTGGGGAGTTAGCCATTGATACTGAATATGGGAAGAGAATCGAGGAAGATGCCATGGGACCCATCTACTCATGTCCCTTGTGTAGTATGACATTTAGGTAAGTCCAATCAATAAAAAGAGACAGAAAATATCAACAATTACTTAAATTTAGAAATAAATTTAAAATCTATAAGTTCAAAAAGGCAAAAAATAAAAGGCCAAAAAAAAGAAAAGTGACCCTAATTTGAAAAGATTATTTAATGTATGTGTAGTGTATAATGTATATATCCATGAAAGCATGCCCATACCTGCCTTTTGCAAATATTTAAAGATTGCAAGCGTGTTCTGCAGCTGAAAGTCCTGCCATATTGTTGCCTTCAAACCTGTAAACCTTCCCTTTACTTTCATCCCTAAATGCTGTGCTCTTGATGATGTACCACACAGATAAGGGTCATGGCTGTTTTTATTTTCCAGAGATAACATTTAAATTAAACTGATGCCATTTTAGAAGTGGGTGTTTTGCATTGATTTTAGAAGAACTTGATAGTAGGCAAGATGCCTTATTCAGTCAAATTTTAATCAGTGACTTATCAATCAGTTTGCAGTTCAAGTACATGATGTACATGTAAGAAGAGGCAAATCAAGTAAAATTTTAGAAATTGTGTACAAGTTACTCATCAAATTTAGTTCTACTTTTGATATTTTCCCAAGGCAAGAGATGAAACTGAGACGAAAGTGTTTATCATGTAAATTGATTGATGACTGTGTCCATGTATATTGTCTTTCAGGCATACCAGTCAGTTAATGCGTCATCGTCGCACTCACACCAACGAACGTCCCTTTGAGTGTGTAGACTGCCATCAAGCCTTCCGACGTAAGTGCCATCTCAAACGCCACTGGCAGCGCATCCACAGTGGTGAGAAGCCCTTCAAGTGCGCCATCTGCGGCAAAGCATTCAGCGACCGGGACCACCAGCGCCAGCACGAGACCATCCATGGCCCCGAGACCTACCCATGTTTCCACTGTCGCTGCGTCTTTCCCTCTGAGACGTACCTCATCCAGCACCTGTCTGAGAACCCCGACTGCAAAGCGGCATTCGCCCGGGACGGCGAGGCCCCGCCCAAGCGCACAAGGGGCAAGCACAAGGGCATGATGACGTCTTACAAGTGTGGCCTATGCTTTGAGCAGTTCAAGAAGCTGCGGCAGATCCAGACACACCAGCGGGTGCGCCACCACGACGTCTTCGAGAAGAAGTACAAGTGCAACCTCTGCGGGAAGGGGTTTGACCTCATCTCGGACTTGACACACCACCGGAACAATCATGCAGTCCGGAGCAAGCTGGACGTGGACAAGAACGGAGACACTGGCTACCGCCCGCAGCCGCATCACCATCACCACCACCATCATCACCAGCCCTCCTCAGCTGCAACAACGTCCAAAGCTGTGCAGAACAAGGCCGAGCTCCTGCAGATGTTGCAGCAGCTGGAGAGACGCATCCAGCAGCAGCAACAGCAGGTCAAGAAGATCGAGAGCCAACAGGAAGAGATTGAGAACGAGGATAGTGACGGAGAACAGGCCAATGCTGAGCCTCAAAACCCTCACAGCCAAATCCGCTACATCTTGGAAACATCCCGCTTGGGTGAGGGCCAGTATGGCCGCATCGACGGCGAGGGTGCCGTTTACCAAAATGGTCATAGCGAGGCCCGGGCCACCGCCCCAGTCTCCCCGAGGTCGGAGGCGGGAGCCATGGATCTCTCTCTCAGTCGAAATGCCTTAGAAGGAGGGGAGGACCACCACAGTCCGCACGGCAGAGCCTCCACTTCCGCCGCAGACAGTATCCCCAAGCCTTCCTCCACCCTGCTGGACCTCATGACCAACAACCGCCACAAGTGCGAACAGTGCGGCATCTCCTTCCTCCTGTACTCGGAGTTCCGGGCTCACCGGAAGCGGCACGAGAGAGCCCGGGTGGCCATAAAGCAGGAGCCCATGGAGACATCCGAGTACCTGGACAGCAACCCGGACGCCGACAAGAGCTTGTGCCGAGACTGCTGCAATCAGAACGACCCCACCAGCTCTTCCCTGTCTACCAGCACGAGCCCTCCCCATTCTCACATCAGTAATTCTGCAAGGTGCTTCCATCACCAACAACGTAACACAGTAGCCAAGACTCAGGAGGCCAATGGTCAAGAACTACACTACCCCCGCACCAGAAGCAGATCAAGGTAAGTCACCTGGTTTTTTTTATATTTCAAAGTTTGTTGAAAATGAAAGACGTGAGGATTAACCACTTCCTGCTGGGTGGAATATTTGAAAATGCGGGATGAGTTCCGGGGCAATTTTCAAGATTTACCATGTTCAAAAATCTTCAAGAATTCATAACTTTATTTACTGGACGTTTTCACCCACACGAATGACAGTGTGGTGGCTACCCCGGTACTCTAATCTGACGGGTAACATCCATTGACGCCCGAGTATTGCAGCCAGGCCTGCTGCCCAGTAAAGAGAGCCCAGATTGTACGGTGTTATGTATTTTTCTTTGTTCTCGCAATTGGTCCTGAATGGCAGTGGCATCTTTTCAAATGTGGCTGGTTTAGTGTACAGCTTCCCTCACCGCTGGAGCGCTTTTGTCCACACTGCCAATCTGCTGGCACTGAATGCCACAAACAGTGGTATACTGTTTCAAAACAATGACGAATTACCTCCGCTAATACCAGCTGAAAAATGATGGTAATTCCCTGCAGCAGGCCTTCTGTTCTGAGTACGGTCTTTTGTTACAAGGCCTAGCTCCTTTGTCTGATTTTGGGCAGCCTAGCTATGCATACAGACCCAAGGAGTCCGGTACCGGAAACCCCGGCACCAAGTGGTTAAAAGCCATTTTTAAAAGTTTATCATTCTTGAGGGACCTTTTATTGAACTTGGGGAACACTCCCGACTGTCAAACCTCCAGAACTTTGAACATCCCAAGATTTATTGGAAATATTTATTCACACATGTATGTACAGGATATCAAATTGTGTGTATTGAGGGAGTACTTTTGCTACAATAATTTGCTGTTCTTAAGTCTCTCAAATTTGCTGAACAATTTCAAACCGTGTGGAAGTGCGATCATGAAATGTCACTCAAGTCTGAAGGAAGTTTTATTGCGGTTCATTTTGATTCCCAGTGGAGAGGCTTATTCTCAACATACCTAAGTTTCTCTGCGGCAATACTCGAGATCTCTTTGTATCACTTCTATACACGGCTCTGCATTCCCAGGTCATGTGACATGATGCCCTTGTCAGATCAAAGCCGCGATCAAGAAAATAAGGCCCGAGCCGCCCAGTCGCCGAGCCACGACCGAGTGCTATCCTGTGAACAGTGTCTGCTCCTCAAGAAACAGCTCGTCAAGGTTCGTAGACCCCACCCAGCCCATGCTTTTTCAACAACATATGTGAGATTCTTATCAGGAGTTGCCAGTGGCTTGCAGTCCCTTTGCCATCCTTAAAAGAAGATTCATGATGGGCACTGATGTACATGTAGCTTTGCTTGGGCGTCTTATCCTAAACGGCACCTTGGGAGTGAGTTTAAGACTGAAGATGTGGGGCCCACTGAAATTAAAGTGATGCACCGGATTCTTTGAAATTTATCGCAAGTCTCAGGGGTGCACCTTACTGAAGTATTAACCATACATGTGCTTCAGGCTCATTCCCAACATTTTATTCACTTGTTGCCACCGTACCTGTGTTCAGACTTTTCCTGTATACCTGAAATTTCACACAAAAAGTCTGAGCCCATTTATCGCCCTGGCAGCCCCCGAATAACACTTTAGAAAATGCCGTTACACCAACTCCAAATCTCGGGAAATTGTTTTCGTTTATTTTTTCACAACTTTAGGGACAATACAAATACAGGTCTTCAGTGTGGACGGCAAAACTGAAATATTTTTCTGAATATAGCAATCTTTCAACAAATTTGTCCATCCATTCAAGAATTGTCAAACCTCCCCCCAAAGAAAGCTGAAAGTACAGTGTATCATTTCCAAAGTAAGGATGCTTTCAAGAAAAAAAAAAAAAATTGGCAACATGGCTCTGGGGTGGGGGTCCTGCCCCTCCCTTGCTGCCTTTACCCTGCTGTAGACAATGGTATTGGGGGGGGGGGGTGTTACACAGTTTTATAAGTATATTTAGCCCCTTCCCGTAGCTGCCCTTGTGGAGAAAGGCAGGGATCTTCTGTAACTCTGCTGACTTGCTGGCATATGGCATGTTTTTCAGGAACGGAACGACAAGAAGGCCATGCGGATAGAGATCGAGCGGCTTCGTGAGGCATTGGTGAGTTTTGCCGAGGCCGCAGCCAATCATGCATCGCCGCTGCGAAGCAGTAGCGAGCTGATGGCGCTTTTCAGTAAACACATTGAGAGAAACATGGACGAGAGGGAAATTGTGTAAGAAGAATGAGGCTTCCATGGACACCCTCCCTCCCTTAAAAAGACAAGAAACGATTCCAAAACAGCGTTACAGTTGATTTACAAGAGGAAAGCAATTTTTTTAGGAAACCCTTGCTGTGCTCTGATCACGGTTTTTGGATAGCAGCAAATAAATTTTGCTGTAGTAGTGGGTATTGCAATGTAGCATTTTTAGGAAGTTAAAAGGAACAAACTGGAGTATTTTGCAAGAAATAAGTAACGAGGTACTCTGTATTAATGTGGGCCGCCAGCAACCCATGCCATGATTTGTACTATACTTGTTTTGAAAATACATGTACCAGTAATTGTTGGAAATCTGTGGTTGCTAAGGATGGTCGCCATTGTGAGCATGGCATGATGGGATAGGTGCAAGATTATTTCTTGTCAAATACACTTTTATATATATTGCCTAAACAACAAGTTTATATCAAGAAAGTATACTATAGAAAGTAGGTATAAAGCCGTACAATTTTTTTAAATAAGAAAAATTCCATAATGGATTTTTTTCCATTATTTAGTACTGATATAAAAAAGTTGAAAGAAATATTTTTGAAATACAAAGAATTTTTTAAAAAGTATTAAACTATAAATATGTTGCATTTAGTTAGCAAGTACACAACTAACATGCATTCTTTAGTACAAAAAAATGCAAGTTTTTGTAAGAGTCTCTTTTTATGTTAGTGAAGTAGTGAATGCAGATAATATTGTACCAAAGAAGTTCAAAATACATTACTCAAAATAGTTAAGGACCGCTTTTTATTTTGCCACTTGACTTTTCCCTAAAACTGTCCATTTTGATAAATGTGCATTCGATGTTTTGAAACATTTCTTAAATTTTTTACTCCAATGAGACCACCATCTAGACAAACACAAGAGTGAATGAACTAGACTCCACTCATTGCTTGGAAAAAAAATTACAAGTTAAGAAAAAAGGGGTCCTCAACTTTTTTGGAGTTGTATGCTGTCAGATTTGTGCTTATGTACCAGAGTGTTTAGAGGTGTCATTTAGCTTGACTAGAGGTCAAAACTTTGTCCTTCGGTTCACCTTTAATACATGCGAGTCACTGATTAACCACTTGCTGCCGGGGTGGTTTGAAAAATGTAGTGCGCACAAACGGGACATTTTCAAGATTTTCAGTGTTCAAAATTCTTCAAAAATTCACCATTTCATTTAATGGATGTTTACACCCACATGAATGACTGTCTGGTGGTACTCTAATCTGACAACATCTATTGACGCCCGAGTATTTCAGCCAGGCCTGCAGCCTTGTAAAAAGAGCCCAGATTGTGCGGTGTTATGTAACTTTCTTTTGTTCACCAACCTGGCACAGTGCGCTGCTGACCTCTTTTCAATAGTGGCCAGATTAGCCTGCAGTGCTAAATGCCCCAAACCCTGGCATACTGGTTCAAAACAAGGCTGGATTATCTCCACTATTGAGAGTGAAAAAACGTTGGTAATTGCACAGCAGCCTGGTCTTTTACAAGTACAGTCATTTATTACAAGGCCCAATGCCCTTTGTCTGATTTCAGAGACCGCGGCCACACATATAACGCATACATGTCCGGTACTGAAAACCCCGGCGGCAAGCTAGTGGTTAAAATGGAGAAGGTTTTAGATTTTCTCTCTCTTTTTTTGTTTTGTTTTGAGAAAGGCTTGAAGAAAAAGAAGTGCTATTGCCCTAACTTTTGTGCACAAGGTTTTTCCCCAAAAGTGCCCTTTGTAATTGACAATGATGCCATCATAATATGTATAGTTATCGGAATTTTAATTGTTTTTGCCTTTTTGAGAGATAATTTTCCAGCTTTGGGTTAGTTGTTATGACTTACAAAGACAAGTCACATTAGTAGATCCTGAGAAATCTGTAGGTTGTCAAACATTTGGAAGTGAAAATTTTCCACAGTGGGAAGAATATGAGAAGATGTTTCTGTGAAGACTATGGAATACCACACGCCCGCTACAATCTTAGATCAACTTCCTAATAGTCTCAACGCATGCCCTGTGAGTTGTGTTGCTTGTCAGTGCATGGTGTCAAAGGTCATCAGGTCATAGGGTACTTTCATGACATTCTCAGCAAAAGCCCCGTGACGGGTGTGGTTGACAACTTGATAAAATTTCCTCTGAGAGGTCTGCAAAGATTGATGCGGTGGTACGTAGAGTCAACGTGCCAGCCTTCTGATTCGACCTTGCATCCTGCACAGGGGGATATAATCCATTGGGGTACTTTGCCAATTTTAAAAAGCGGAGGTACAACTAATTTTAGAACTAAAGAACAACGTCCGGCATTTCCGCGCATTCTTACCCTGATCTGTGAGTTCTAAGTAGAGCATATTATATATTCAGTCCAGTACTTTTACTTTAGAAATCTACCATTCTCCTGTTACTTTTATAAAAACAACATGAACTTGGGTTAAAGAAATGTCTGTATGTAGAAATGTGTACTGCCAGGCCATTATAACTCTTGCTACATGTACAGTACTTTGCTAGAGTACTCTGGTTTTATAGACAGTTGAAAAGTTCCAACAGTTGATACAAAAATCTGCTAAAAATGAACTGTTTTAAAGATTGAAATAATATTCAGTGATTGACTGCTGATTTGAAAAAGAGGATGTGGACTTCTCTGAGGTCAGCTTTAGCCAATAATTGGAGAGCTCAAGAACTTCTGTTGACAGATTTAAATTTTGATATTTAAGACCAGTAGTCAATGCCAAATGACACCAGTTACTGATTGAACAGTTATTATTAATTAATTAATTGAACAGAAGGATTGTAAAATGGATTGTGTCCTGTTACAAAGAAAACAGACTGAGAGTCAATTTATTGACAGAGGAGGAGCTTTACTCATTTTTAGTTGCTGAGGTCAGCCATTGATTGAGGTCATTAAGTTATCAACATCAGTGAGTTATCTGTAAGGTTGGATGAAATTATTGTTGATTATTGATTACTGATGGATTTGGCTATTGATTAGATGTATCAATTGGCATGACTCAATAACAATTGAATCACTATTTTGCCAACCCAGATCAGGGTTTTTTTTTGCATGTAATGGTTGGCCATTGATTGATAGCCTGCCATTATACGGATTGAGTCAAACATTTATATCAGTTTTCTTGTCATTACAACATAATTTCCAGAATCCAGACACCGTTCATTCCTGGAACACTGTTCACATTCAGTAAAGCCTTTGAAGGTCACCTGTGTTATCCAGGGACAAAAAGGGGTTAAGTGTACTACTGTAGCATGTTTAAAGAGAAACTATTTCAGCATATTGGATGCCACCAATGTAGCACACCGCAACTTCATTTATCCCCTCGCTGATATTAAAACAAAGGGAGAAAGTTGAACACCTTTCACAAGTTGACAAAATTGTGGAACCGAAATAGAAGACATAGCTGAGGGAAGTTCTGATCATTGTTTGCAATCTGGGTTGTGAGAACTTGCTTGTTGTGATTGTTCCAGTTCACTTATTTATGTTTTTGTTTTGTTTTTTATTCAAGAGAGAAGAGCTAGAAATAGTTTATTATAGAGTGTGAGATGGTTGCTTAGAATTCTGAAATAAGGCTGTGTACATACCTACCAAGAAACCTCTTGTAAATGCAGAAAGTTTACACGTGTACTCAACAAACAACAAGAAACAGGTCAAATATCGGTTAAACCATGTACATGATCAAATATCAGGGGACAACGTCATCAAGGGTTCCGCCTCAGTCTTTTTGATTGCTGTTAGTGGAAAGTCTACCTGCATTTGCATAGCCATTTGCCACCCCCCCCCTTGTTTTTTCAGCCTTAGGTCCCACCTCTTTCTCATCACTTGAGAAGGGCTTGGGTTTTGGGTGTTACGTTTTGACATGGTTCTCAAGTTAATGGACAATAGCACTTCCCTTGCTAGGGTTATTGGAGGAATGCAGCACCAGGTTTTATAACATGTTCTCTGCCTAGCAGAAAGGCATAATTGTTAGCCATCTGGTGCATTGTCAATTATGTCAAACAAAAATTGCCCTTCTGCTGGGCACACCACAGCATGATAGGGCTGATTCTTTTCTCAACTAAATCTGAACTCCAGTGTAACTCGTACTCATAGTTGGCCTGTTTGTAAGTTTTAAGAATGCAGCAAATTTAGGGTCGCTCGTTGACTTAAACTGTTTATTTGAAAAAGTGCATTTCCATTTCTTATTTTTTTTTGTACTAAGCCTTTAATATTGAATTGAAATAGCCACTTTTAGGTACTATTACAAAGCTATAATTACTTGTACATAGACAAATTTATATATTGCAAAGGTACATGTAGTGAAATGTTCTTAAGGAGATTTGAAAGGAAAGGAGTATTTGTAGATTTATTCTTTTGTTCTTTGTTGTGATTTTTGGAGCAAACATGGCAAATTCCGTGAGTGAGAATAATTTTGTTTATTTTTCCAATATTGTAACATCTCCGTGACTTATAAAGAGAGTTTAGTGCTAATTTTTAGTGGAATCTGTTTAATCTGTCAACTCTGTGTTTTGACCTGATTTTTGACGGTCACATTTCTTGAAATTGCAAAGATTATACACTTAACATAAAAGCATGTTGCCATACGTAAAGTTAGTCCTTAACATAAATGTTGTTCAATTTATTTTTGTGGTTTTTCTTTTCATGTATTTGGAACAGAACAAAAGAAATCAAGCAAAAAACTGGGAGGTGTACTTTTTCAACTCCAGGGGGCAGCAGACAGCTTCGGGTATTTCCCACTGCTCTAAGACAAAGATAATTTTACTTGGCAAATTTCATGACCTCATCAGCAGACCTTTGAAATTTGAATATGGTAACTACATTTGTTGGCCATGTTAAGAGTGTCCATAGATATTTGCTAATTGGCAAACATTCTGACTGTAATTGCTGCACTGAGCAGAACTCAGCAGGGGACCAGTCACAAGCACAATTCTTGATATGACGTTTTAGCTGGGCACCTATTTTTGCCAAGCCGGAATCAATGTTTAGGCAATGTCTGTCATCAGCAGCTTCAGGAAATTAGTCCCTTATTACAGAAAGTTGGGGGAAAGCAAAATTAGGAATGTAAATTCTGTCCTCTGGAAAGTGGCAAAAACTGAATTGTCTGCTTCCACCAGATGCCAAAATTGTCATCTATATTCATTTTTTTAATCATTTTTCATTGGATGTGTTTCTATGTTTTTCATCGTGTTTTTTTTTGTTTTTTTATTTTGTAAAAAAAGAAAAAACAAAAGTAAAAAGTAAATCATAGAGCCAAAGAATGAAAAGGCAATAACTATGTTCCCAATTTTCATTGAGTTTTTTTTAGGTCGTTGACATGATGACTTGTCTTTTGATGATGAAAGCTGTGTACACAACTTTTTGCAGTGTCTACATGGATTCAATATGAGTCACAGCTGGCCTGTGGTTGACACTGTGCTTACGGCTTCTGAGTAACTCCTGACATTGAGCAACTCGGCTTGAATACTATGTTTGGTCCAGTTTGATTTCTCAGACTGGTTTGACTGCGCCAAATTTGGAGACCTGATGTTGGCGTGCATGTTTTGACACTTCAGCTCATTAAACATTGTCACTCAAGTTTTCAAACTGTTTTTCATTTCACACTCTAATAATCATTCCTAATTCTAGTGGCAAGTGCCCGTTCATTTTGCCTTAAGCCCCACCCCTAGGCAGCAGAAGTTCTATTTTGCTGCCACAGAAGAAATGAAGAATATCCATTCTGTAGAAATTACTACAAATACTTCTTTTTTTTTGGTATATTTTCAGTCAAATATATCTATAGATATTAAGGTACTCCTTTTTGATAACTTATTTATGTACTGTAATAGCTGATGAGGCATTTAAATGAAGTGCTGACTGGTACCCTGTGAGGTTGGGGCCTGGATGAAATGCAAGGTCAGCTCTTAGCCATTGTGATAATGTACTATGAATGAGTTTAGTATTATGATCGTAAAGTTGGTTTGAGAATAAAAAAAAAGAGGAGAGATCACGAGCTGGCATTTGACTGTTGGTTGGGTGTTTGTGGGGGGGGGGGGTTGGTTCACTAGAAATGGAGAACTCTTTCTAGAAGCGGCATTGTAGTTGCCCCAGAATTGACAACCTGAAACCACCCACTGTCCTTTCCACCTGTCATGCGTGGGCGACTAAACAGCAGGTCCCCCTTTCACAAGTTTCCAATTCCCCACCCCTGGTTCACTAAAGGAAAACGAGTCAGTTGTGCAGAAAAAGTTTGCTTTGTTGAATAAGTAACCAACTTGAAAGACTGCAAAATTGATACCACAACTGAGATACAAAGGTATTTGCATGTGTGTGAAAAGTTATACCTTTTCAAATCAAAACAGGTTTCCCCCCATATTCCCAAATTTTTCTGTAAACTTGTGCCTCCCACTGCCTTTGGGACAAATGAGTCAAACTGAGTCAAAAAAGCTTAGTAGTTGAATAGAACTATTTGAGCCATGAAGAACCTTTTTCAGTTGTTAGTGCTCATTGACAACTAACAGGTTGAATGGAGCACTGTGTGCCCTTTGTAAAGCAACATTTGATTTGTTGAAATGCAAAACCAAGTTCATTTGTAATCACTGCATTTTTTTAACCCCATTTGCGACTAGTTTCTATACAGGTCATGTTAAAAAGTCAAATGTTTTAACCTGCAGTCCAAGAGTGGATTATCGCATCCAAGAGGCTAAAATGCAAGAAACTTAAACGAACGAACCTATTTTGACAAGTGTTTTTAAAACAAGTCAGCTGGAGCACTTAAGAAGATTCATGAACAAAGAAATGAACATTGCGCTCGCAGATGAGACACTTAGATCACAATTTTATTCATAAATAGTCTGCTGCCAAGTCAGCTTATGTACAGTAAAGGCTACTTAACGAGGAGGATCTCAGATTACACTGAATCAGTAATTGGGTGCTGCATGATACAATGTGGCAAGCTGGCCTCACACCAGAGGAAAGACCGCTTGAAGTGAAACCCTACCGAGGGCAAAGTCTAGAATTACAACGTAGGAAAAAACAAACATACAGGTACACTTTGTGGGGGGAAATGAACACTGTGTCAGCAGAATTAGAAAAATACATTTTCTTATAAATGAATCACACCGTTGATTTTCCATTTCAGAGAGATTAATTTCCAATTGATTTATAATCATTCTTTGAAGCATTTCTTCCCTTAAACCAACCTGGCAATATTGGCTTTACCCTCAGTCTTGTGGGTCTTCAAAGTTGTCAACGAAAGACATTACTGACCACACGTCCACCTGCAAAGTTCTTCCACAGAATTACATGCAGAAAACCCAACCCGGCTGCAACTTGACCAAAACTAATTACTGATGTTATCTCCATTTTGGGAGTTTCTTGCCTTCGTACAATCCAAAATACACGGCCTGTTTCCTGAGCCAGATTCCATTGCAGGAAAGAGATTCCACTTCTTTTGTTGGTTTTTTCGCAACTGAAAATCAAGCTAATGACAAAAGATGTGCAGCTAGGGCTTTCTCTTCACATTGCAAAATAGAATTTTTGTCTCATTTATGTTACATAAGAATATTAGTCTAAGGAGACAATACAAAGATCACAGTCGATTTGGAAATAGTTTTGTAACAGTATGCTTGCTTTGTCCACTGTGTCTCACAAGTTTGGTATTACAGATACATGTATAATTATGATCAATTTTTACTATCCCAAATTCGCACTTATCATCAATTAGCTGTCCCAATTTTACTTCAAACAACGTTCTAATTTTGCTTTTTTAATTCTTTAGCTCATTACATGCTGCCACTAGGCACCCTCTCTAGCCAATAAATGACCCTTAACCCTTGCATTACAATGTACACGTATTTATACCCCAATGTATCCATTAGACCATTAGATGCTGGGGCAGGTTGGGGCAGTACCACAGTACGGAAAGGAATCAGTGAACAAGGAAGCCACTTCTTAGACATTGACAGATTAAAAACAGCTGTCACTTCAACAGCAAATGTCACAGTGTCAGTCCTCTGCAGTGTGAATTGTGGGTAAATACCAGAGACACCCATTGGTCAATGTATCATGTCATAAGAAAACCCCTGTCACAAGCAAGCAGAAAAGATTTCTTTATGCAGCACGACTTCACGTCCAAGAAAGAACAATTTTCAACAACACCTAAGGAAATGTGAAGACTCTCTATTGATGGAAACGCTATACCGATAATGTATTTGTCTGAAAATAAACACATTTTGGTCATTGAAACCAACTGAAAGATGCCAAGAATAACCTTTTACTTGATAAAACTAAACTTTAAAATGTTATTCTTTAATCTGTTCCGAATGGACGGTAGTGAATTTTTTGGCTGGAAAAAAAAAGTTAGCCATTATCTGGGAAATGTGATCTATGATATCCCTAGAGGGCAGTATAACAGTAGTGAAACCATCTATCAAGACACAGACAGCATCTCTAGGGTTTTTGTTGACAGGTGTTGTCATGACAATCACACCCTGAGTCACATTTTTCTTGTATCCCTAGGTGGGAATTCCAAATTGCACATGATGAGGCCCACCTTCAGCATTTCCATTAAAAAAGAACCAAGGCTCTGATTCTTGGTCAAAAGTTTACCACATTTTACGGTCTCAAAAAAAAGACCCAAGTTAACACTCTCTGCCTCAGATATTGGATGCTTGGTTTCACTTTTCAGGCAAAGCAAAAACATTAAAAATAGAACACCTCTCTTAAAAACCTCTGAACCTGAACTAAAAAAGACCACCAAAAATGGAAATTTGCTCTGAGAGCAAAACACACCTTTTAAAATCTTTTGTGTTTGTTTTTTTTTTTAACGATTTTCCGTGACTCAATTTTTTTTCTAAAAATAATGTCAAGGAAAGAAAATTTAGTAACATGACTCTGCTTTTTACAGACAAAAGAAGATGGGTCACAGTGTGACCTTTAATATTAATAATTAATATTAATTAATATTAACTCGGATTGTGAACGTTAAGACCTGGAATCAGGTCTCTGGTAAATTCAATACCACATTGCTAGGGTTGTCCCTGCTTAGAAACATGACAAAGTAAAGTTAGACACCGAGATTCATGTACTGTTTCAACATGGAGGACTGTAAGTCATTACAAACTCCAACACTTTTCTTTCTCTGGTCACGCCAGCTTTCAGTGCCCAATCCAAAACGAGTTTTATGGCATTGTCCCGTCATTGATAAACTGAAAATGTCTACATCACTTCAACTTGACCCTATTCTTCCATATTTTCGGGGAAATACATGTGCATGTAGAGATTCAATAGTCGCCACGTCGCCATGCCCTGTTGCAACGAGGGACAAAAAGGTGACGAGTGGGACGCAAAGACGGCATCTGAATCTGGTGCTCAGATCAGGCTTATCTCCCTGACGGTTCTTTTCACTGCTGTTTGAAAGTTTTGACGTCAGCAGCAATGCATGTAGGATTTCAGCTGCCAGATTATGCAAAATGGGATAACCAAAAAAGCTTGTGAAGGACTTTGCCAAGATTGACGGAGGACAGTCCATGAAGTCAGTTTTGCCGGAACTGCAGTGTTGTACAAATCCGCTTATACAAAATCCTGAGTTGCAGCTGTCAAATTTTCACATACCACAAGCACTGAAATTAAAGATTCGGCATCCAATTTCGTTCAACTTTCCTTTCCTGTTTTGAAAGCATTCAGAAACTGTTTCGAGTACATTTCCAGAAAAAAAAAGAAATGGCCCGTATGAAATTGGTTTTGTCTGACTAATCCAAAAGTGCTTTGCAGCTTCATTTGCGGTGTTGACATAAACAAGCACCAATGTCAATTCGTGCTCCTCCAACAGCTGAAGTTTTGCAGCCCCTTGTTCCAACTCACTGGTCCGGGTTGTGGACCTGATTGTCCCCCTGTCTGTCCTGCGGTCCGTCTGTCTGCCCCTCCTGCAGTCTGGCCTCTTGTTGGTCCGCTGGTCTTGCACCCTCGCCGCCCCAGTCAAACCCCCCAGGTCTCTCCTCCTCGGGGAGGGGGTTGTAATTTGCATCATCGGGGTTCGCATCGAAGATCATTTTCCTGAGGGGGAAGGCAATCATATCTACATAACTGTCAGGTGTTTGAAAGTTTCTGGGCAGCGAACCCATGAGGTGTTTTCTATATATTTCTCACCATGTGCGCTGCTAAAAAATGTACCAAACACCAAAAACATCCGTGCTGATGCATGCTTACCCATGGAAATTCACAAACCAGCAGCCGATTTCACGAAACGCGGCATAACTTTAAACTATGCATAAGCCTTGTGCCACAAATTTATGCCGTAGCTGCCCAATAATATTAAATTTCTTGCATGAGGACAAAAACGGCTTTTACGACGGCTGTTCTTTACCAATATAACAGCAGTCACCAAACAGTCCTTGAATCACATCCGCCCACCATTTTGAAAAAGTTCTCGTCTTTTCTTCGTCGGAACCGGACAAAAAGTTTTCTCACAGCCAAACAAGTTTATTATTACCTTCTGGAACAAAGTTGTTCGTTTCTCGTATAATCCTAAATAATTTCAGCAATGACGAGGCTTAACCAGACTTGATAAGCAAGTCAAATCGTTCATTGTCGTTTTGTTTGACACAACTTATGCCATCTAAAATGACTGTGTAAGCTACGCCATAATTTGTTGCACAAGTGTGTAAGTTTCGTGAAATCGGTCTTAATTTGTTGCACAACTTACACAATAGAATGTGGCATAAGTGGAATTATGCCACTGCGTACAGTTTTATGAAATCGGCTGCAATACACTAGGGCACTGTTCGTGACATAGACCTGCAGCTAATGTTCTGCAAGTCTAGCTAAATAAACTTTACATCAATATGGTCTATGTCATGTTCATTTTAGTTTCTCTCGCCAACATAAAGTAAAAGGTAGGGGTGGAACGATCCACTGGTCCACTCACCTGGTCCAAAAAGGGAGATATAAACCCCATATCCTGGGGATTTTTGAGTAACCACAAAATAAACAACTGATTTGAATGACTGAAAAACTCACAGAATTTTGGGTGTTCTAAGGATTTTGAAGCCGCCGTGTTGCTGAGGGAAAACGTCTTCAAGGAAGAAGTAAACATGACCGACAGCAATGCCTGGTAAGAGCAAAAAATGTTTTAAAAACCAAATCTGTAAGAGTTATTTCTATAATATGCAACGTTTTGTATGATTCATTTACATCGAATCCACATAATATTTCTACATTCTATTCGGTCAAACTGTACTCAATTTATACTTTATTTTTTTTTACTCAACAAAACAATCATCATTTGCAAGTCTGACTGGTGAAATCAATTTTGACGGCATCTTGTAAGAATGTCAACTGCTGTTTCAACCTTGCACGGTTATCATGCCTTCAACGCCAGAGCAGGTGGGTACATGTATGTGTACTATTGAATTTTATTATCAACATAAATAATACATTCAACCTATGCAAGACCTGGAGATCAATTTTTTTGAAGTTTATGGCACTGAATGGTAGAACAAGGGCCACTCTATGGACCTGCGTCAAGTCTTCCTTGGTGTGAATAAGAAACTTTTACTGACGATACATCGGCCTCAACGATGTAGACATGTTCAAGTTTGACTCTATCGCACAGGACAGAACACAAACGATACAAAGATGCAAGTGGAAACAGATATATGTGTCAGTGTGATACTCTGGATCTAGGTTTGTCCTTCTAGAACCAACGGTGCTACATTGTGAGGTACAGAGGAAACAGAAGTTACAATATCTAGAGGTGGAGGAAAACCTGAAATATGCATTCTGGGTAAAACCCACGGAATCAGGTAGGGACTGAAAACCCAGTCCACGTGACCGAGCTGGGAATCGACCCCCGGCTGTAGAGTTGAACCATCTACATACATGTATCTCTGACTGCACTCACCGATGAAGTCGACGATGATGGAGTTCCCCAGCAGCAGGGAAAAGCCCAAGAGCACCCAGGGCAGGTGGGGAGCCTGGAAGTTCATCAGACCCAGGAAGTTCATGCGGACGAAGGGGTTCCTCCGACTCCAGACGTACACCAGCATGATTGTGAAGGCCTGGCCAAGAAACACCAGGTTGACAAAGAACGAGATGATCTGGGAGGAATCTGGTTAAGAAATTTGTGGCCCAGCAATAAGAAAATGCCGATTTCTTGTCTGCCAGGAAATCCCCGGCAGGAAGTGGTTAAGAAGCTGACAAGCTTGTGTTTAGTTTGCCTGGTAGAAGGGTGTAATTGAACAAGATGTTGCAGTGTGAGCTGTTTGAGTAACTGCCTGAACAACCTTTTGCTAAGCACAAGATGAGATGAGAACTCATAGGATATTCATTGATTATCTGAAAGGGTGTTTGGGTGACGAAAGCTGAAGCAAAATGAATTTGGCAACTTCAACAAGGCATACGCAAGTATATGCAAATTTTCTTCACTGCTAAAATGTAAGTAAATATTGGCCCTGGCATGTTTGCAGAAGACATTCCCGAATCCTACAAAATCCTCCATCATATCAATATAATCAATTGAAATCCATAAAAACTTTAAAGTTTAATTCTAAAGAGGGATAAGGATTGTAGTGGAATTAGGGTTCTCATCAGCAAAATATAGTCTGCCTCTCTGAATAGCAGACTGTAAGGTTGTCCTTGGATTCAGTGATAAAAGCAGTGTTCTGTCCTGATGTGTTTAAGGATACCGTCATGACAAGACCTCCGCAGAAGAACATGAAGAAGAAATCTGCTGTCCGACCCCTGAATGACCCCTCCTCCAACATCCGACAGTAGCGATACGTGAAGATCATGTTGAATAAAAAGTTGAAGCCGATTGGTCCAAAGAAGAGGAAATTGGTGATTAATCTCCATACCTACAAGTTAAAAATAAAAAAGGTAGGCCTATATTTTAAAACGGTATGTGGACCGTATGTATGAATTTGTTAACCCCTTCACGCCAGGATTCTTTTGACTGCGACTGCTGGGCTGCAGTATACCCAGCATGCAAAGCCCTGTCCAGCAGCAGGCCCACATTGAAACCGCAGGTGCATGATGAATAGAATGTATGTGTGGTATGTACTAATCCTCACACAAAGCCGCGGCTGTCGACATCTCCCGGAGCGAAGGGGTTAATACTGATTTTTTTTCGTCAGTAAAACAGATCCTGAGACTACTGATTCAACAGAAGATGAAGGATTTTTTCTTACCTGATAATGGTTGAAAATTAAGTCTGGGTTGAAGTACAGCTGGAAAGGTGTAATGATGTCCAATTGCTGTTGAAAATAACAAAAGGGTCTTAGATAATCAAGTTATACCAGTATGTCCATGGAAAGCTGTGGTGAGGACCTTCAAGGAGAAAATTCTAGATTCTTCACAGGTCTCACCACGACAAAATCCTTGAAAAAAACGAAAGAAAAAATGACATTCTGAAAGGAAATCCTAAATTACATTGTAGTCGAAAGCATTTTTAGATATCAATGTCTTTATTTGAAATTATTTTTTCCAGCAAGAAGGTGAACCTAACAACCACTGACTTCAAAGACTTGAATCTGAGGCTACAACGTTGCAGACTTGTGCAAGTTCAAGGTTAGCCCAATTTAGGGAGTAAAGCAATTTTTGCTTTTAACGTTTTAGGGCCATCAAGCTCAATGTAATGTACGTGTTGTGGTAGCTGGGCTCTACCTTCCTGAATCTTCCAAAATCCTCCAAGAACTCCTGACAGATTTTGAAAGATGGGAATTTATGGCTGAAGAGAGATAGTCAGGCTCCTTTTTGCAGAAGGCTTTCAATTCCCTTGAAACTTACCACCGCAAGTGTTGTTAGCACACATGACGTGCAGTAAGCTCTGGTGATGGGCGGAGTCTGTAGATACTCCTGTTGGAAGGTCTGATATGCCATCGTCGAGAACTTGAGGTAAGTCAAAAATATAGGACTTGGACTGTGGTCCTTGTTTTATCTGCAGACCAAGTAACAAGTAGGAAAAGGAGAGTCAAGTTGGTGGAGTGGTACATTCCTTGCATTCCCACTCAGTGGCCAAGGTTCGACTCCCACTCAGGCCGACATGTGGGTTTAAAATATGTGCAGGTCTCAGCACTGAAGATTGCTACCCATGCTGCGCCTAGCAGCAGCCACATGTAAGATGGCACTTGCTCCATTGTTGACACTGCAACGGCACTAACATGCACTTGGACACCAACGGCTGTTGCTTGTCCTTTTGCCATTTGGGCATAAATAATGAGGAGCTCCGTGATTGGTCAGTGTGACCCCCAGCGCGCAGCAGCTAACTGCTACTCCAACCAGTCAGAAATTTTCCGCCAAAGTCGGAAAGGTTGGGAGGTCTGTTTCACCCCACTACAAAAGATTTCCCTCCTTGTAAACTCCAGCTAACATCCCCTACCTATTCTGCCATGCCCCCTCCTGCGCCGAGTCACAGTTTACCATGTCCATGCAATACTGTACACTGCATGTGCATGTGATGTACATGTACGTACATGTATGCTTTATGGTCAACTCGGTCCAAAACCAACTCCGTCCAAGTCAACTCGGTCGCAAGTCAACTCGGTCCCAAATCAACTTGGTCCCATTTAGGGATTGCAGCCAAGAAGGCCACTTTTCAAGCACGGCGTAGATAGAGTCGAGTCTTTCAGGCTATAGTGTACATGTAGATGGACAAGAAATGATGGCTCTATCCCATACAGAGACGCTCTCTCTAATAGATTGATTTTATGAATAAACTTCGGGTGCTTTTAAAAAAGACTTTTATTTGAGGGTGTCATTATAATAATAATCTTATAAAGTGCCAAATCTATTAAAGAAAAATGTTCGAAGCACTTTCCAGGAACTAAATAATTAGTTAAATAATCCAATCAAAGTAAAATTTCTAAAAAAATTTGTCACAAAGAATTACATCTAAACCGAAGCCAAAACCAAGGTAGTTAAAACTTTGGACATATCATTCAATCGCATATAAAAAGATTAACTCTAAGAACCAGCATTTAGAAATCATAAGGACTAAAAAACACTAAACATAAGTTTAAAGGGAATTGAGCAACAACCAACGAACAACAGTTGAACAACCAACACCCCCCCAAAACCACAGACCAAAATTATAAAAATAAAACAACTACATTGCATTAAAACCTTCAGATAATCCAAGTAAGAAAAGATACAGAATTAATTTATATAGCATATACAAGGACCTAAAAAGCATTACAGCATCTTATCAAAAAGGTAGTTTATTCTATGAAAAATAACTACACCATAAAATAAGCAGGTATCAAAATCACTGACAAACTACAGTCAACTTAACAAGAGAGACCCCACCTAACACAAACAACAGCAACAAGACATTCCCGTTTAGTTTTAGACTTTGAACCTTGTTTTAACAAAATTGGTATATCAAAATAAGAAAACAAATGGACACTGTCATTTGACAAAAAAGATGTCGATCACGTTGTGTAATTGAGTTGTTCGTTTTGGGGAAATGGAGCAGCATTTCTATGGGTAAACAACCAGAATAAAATCCCAGTTCGTGCTCTGTTAGTGTTAAACGTCATGTAGAGCCTATGTCGAAACAGGCTTGTTTTCTGTGGGGTTCGTCCGAGCAGGGAGGATGTTGGACCCCACAGTTCTGGGCATGCCAGGTGTATACAAGCCCCACAAGTAGGGATGTGAATGGCTCTCTTTTGAAATCTGTCTCGTTTCACCGAAAATGGTCGAGCCAAGATGCGGAGCGAGCGCGGTCACTGGTGGGCTCAACACATGCGCAGTCTGATTAACACGAACGACATAAACAGCGTGACAGTCAATGGGTGGAAGCGAAACATTGGTGAGAAAAATCTCATTTTTTTCCCCAAAAATACTCCATCCCATGTTCTGAAACTTTTGTTATCCTTTTTAAGGAGGTATAGATTAAGCAGGTATGCTGACGGTACAATTTGATTTAGGCCTATAGCTTTCTTACAGCTGTGCACCATTTCACCACAAAAGTTTGACTCCAAAACCCAATAGCGTTAGGACTCCATGTAAACCTTGTCTCCTCTAAGTCACACGGAGTATCACAGAGTTATTGACTTAAGAGTTCTTGAAGTACATCTACGGCACCTGTCAGGTACCTTGACTTCCGACGCACGAAGCACTGCCTTCGTTTTTCAAAACGGCAATGCCCATGGTCCGTATATAAATATCACAGGCCAGGTTTTTAGGGCTGTGATGGCGACAGAAAAGAGACAGATTTCAAAAAAGAGCCATCCAAAATGGCACAGCCCCTCCGTGTGCAAGGTGTGGGGCTAGGGTAGCCTTATTGCTGATACCGCATGAGTGATTTTGTACAACTGCAGAAAGGCATTATGGGATGGGAAAAGGAGCAAACGTTGCCCCCAAACGTTGCCCCCTCTTCTTCCTTTCCACACTGCCTTTCTACATTAGTGCAAAATCACTCATGGGGTATCAGCAATAAGGCTTGGCACAGTAGGCTAGGCGTATGTACACATATTTTTGTATACAGCCTACATAGGCCTGTTACGCCCCAATTATACCATAAGTCCCAACTATAGTTGGGACTGTCCCAACTGTAGTGCTGCAGTTGGGCTGGCCCAACTATTGTTGACCAATGTCTGTGGCAAATGTCTCAACATTATCCAAGTCAATGTGTCTCACACTTGACACAATTCATCTAAAATGTGGCACTTCTTGTGTTCATCTAGCCCTATCCCTATGACCAATGACATGACATTTGTAACAATATCTTTGGCACACCATGCACACAAGAACTCTCTCCCATGTCTCCTGTAGTTGGGCCGGCCCAACTAAAGCACTCTAGTTGGGACGGGCCCAACTATAGCTGGGACTTAAGTTATGGCATGCTATATCTTACTAGTACTAGCTTTATAGGGGCGTTAGGCTACATCAGCAGCACGCACGATGATCAAATGGTATCAATCAACAAAACTCACCTAAGACTAAGTAATGCACTAGAAAATAGATACATTCTACAGCATACTTCCCAATCAACAAGTAAAACGTGGTTTTATTCCTGTTCCAGTTGATAAAATAACCACAACACTAGGTGATGTTTTGTAGGCTGGGCCGGCCTAGGCTACGTGTACTTACTTCCCTCGTATGGCGGGCGCTGTGGTTTAATGGTTTAGACTGGTGCTCAACTATATATGGCAATAACATTCTTGTTTTGCATACCCCCATTTGGGAACCCGATGCTTTTGCTTAGTCTTCTTCACCAGTAAACTCGTTAACCTCAATTTACACTGGTAAGTATGGTAAGAGACTAGCCAAATATGAGAGGTCAGTGCGCATGGTCAGTCATTGCAGGTGTGAAAACAACACACTGTGCCTGGCTTCTGCCTCGATTTTTCCGTCTACGTTGAAATGCACGCATTGCGATCTGTCGCCGCGCCGGACTATACGAGTAGGATTTCAGCTGTGAACGAGAGTGCACGCGACGTATCGTCTGTATTTTTTCATTTTTGGAGCTCGTTTTCGGGCAGTAAAATGGTGTCTACCTTGTCAGGAGTGACAGTGCCGAATGGGTTTGACCCAGCGTTTGAGTATGAATTCAGTGACGGCGAAGACAGCAAGAATGTCTACCAAGAACAGGAGTCAGACGAAGGTGTGTTTTTCGCGAAATGAATGCAGTCTCACGCTTGAGCATGTTGAGACTGAGGCCGTGAGAGCTAAATTGCCGTGTGTACAGTGTTGACCACACCATGCTTCAAAACAGCACTGCAAAACCATCTAAAGCTGGAATGAACAACCCGCAGTTCTGTTCTGAGTGATGCTCATTAGAGCTTTTCAGAGTATTTATCTAGATCCAGATGCACATAGCACATTGACTTTACTTTGGTTTTGCATCCAAAAAATCACTGTAGGCCTATCCCAGGTTGGACATTGTCTTCATTTACGCTACGACTGATGTCCAGGGTATAAAGTCTTCCTGCCATAGCGAAACATTTTCCAATGTTTTTTTCCTCATATTTTTACTTGGCGGAGGCACCTCAAATTCATTCACAAGTGTCTTGTATCCTGAATTCCATGAATAGTGTGTTGAAGTTACTAAATACACCCGCAGACACCATATTTTGCAGGAAATTTAGTGCAACTCCACGCTTTCTGTTGGGATTCATGAACGATCTACATTTTTCTAGTAGGCCTAGGGCCTAGTAGGCATTTGCGCATGTGCGAAATGCATAGCAACCAACTGTCCCTTACGCATGTGTGGACGACATGGTGCCTTACTCAAATCACGCAAGTGGAAAGAAATCTCAGCTCCAAAACTGCCAATTTTCATTGACTTTAAAGCTCGGCCCACATTCTGACCATTATGACTTATTCTTGCCCACAGTTCTTCCGTGCATGCATAAGGGGCGGTCGGTTGCTATGCATTTCGTGCATGCACAAATGCATACTACTAGACGATCATATATTGGTCATGAATCATGATGGAAAGTGTGGAGTTGGGCTAAATTTCCTGCAAAATACGAAATTTAGTAATTTCAACACAGCATTTATGGAATTTGGGATATAAGGCACTTGTGGACAACATTTGAGCTGCCTTTGCCGGTAAAATTTTGAGAAAAAACATTGAAAAAACTTTTGCTGTGGCAGGGGACTTTATACCCTGGATGTTAGTTGCAATGCAACGTACTGTACATGTAGACGACGTCCATTGGGCAAAGTGGGCCTACATCATGTACATGTGTATCTCCTTTGGAAACAGTGTTGCATCCTGACTTCACTTCAGTGGTTGTGTACAAAGTCTATAATTGGGTGTCAAGAAATTTTCTATATAGGCCTAGGCCCTATTTCCCAGCAAAATTGATTTTCCTCAGACTCGGTCCCAGTTTCACGTCTTTTTAGCGTTACTGTCCTGACTGATGGAAAGAGTTCCATATCTGGACATCATGTGACACCCAGTGCACAAACCCTATGAGAGTGGTTTGAAAAATTCTAAGTGTTAAATGTCTCAATATTGTCTCAGTATTTTCAATGCTAAATTTGACTTTCTAGACATGATATCACTTTCTAACAACTAATAAACCACTGCCTGACTGCCAGTGATATCCTTGTATGGAACTCTTTCCTGGCTGACGTGAGATAATGGTGAAAAACATGGAGGCATGATACAACATTCGTTCTTCCTCGATTTCTGTCAACATGCTGCGTTAATCTTTCATACTCCAGACTTCATATTGTGTTCTCCAATTGCCTTTTGGGAAAGAGTCCCGCCTAAACCGTGCATCCACAGTTTTTGAGTATAGCTTTAACAGTCCCAAATTTTCCAATTTCGATATGATTTTACATGTACACCCTAGGGGGTTAGGGTTCAAACATGATGAACTTCGCCTTCGATGAACTTCGATCAAGTTTTTAAAAAGTGGTGCTTTTTAAGGGGGCCTAGCCTTTAGCAAGGAAAATGAGTTCAAGACCTTGGGGAACATCAAGAGTACCATCTCGGACTCTGACCCCTGTTTCATTTATGGTGTTTTGTGACACGCAAATTATGGCAGCTGAATGTAGAGCTCTTTCTACTTTGGTGTCGCAAAGGACTGTCAATACACTGAATTGCCAAAACAAAGCAACTTCAACTATAAACCCAGGTTTTTTTGCTTAATTTATTCAGTGCAGCCTAAGAGGCCTACTTCTGTTTCTTGCAACAAATTGTTTCCTTCTAAGTCATTTTTGTCTGATTTGTCAGCTTCTTATCGACAAATTTTCAAAAAGTGCCTTCCATAATTTTGCAACGATATACATGTACTGCATATTTTTGAACAAGCACAGCAGTGCACTTTGACTTGCGGTACCCGCTGCTACATTGGATTCGAACTGTCGACTCTATCCCGGCAAACTCAGTGGTTAAGTGGTTTAGTGTTGGGCGCGACTATTTCGTCCTTGCGATAGCTCAACCTTTGCATGATCTGTCGATTTTATTGCATAATTTGCTGATAACTCTGTCATCAGCTAATTGCCTTTTCTGTCTTATTCGCGGCTTTGGAAGATAGCTTCAAAAAAAAGGGAATTTAAGTTGCAAATTTAATACTGGATTGACTCTTATTGCAGCACAATCACGTGATCCTGCTGATCGACCAATTGCACCCAGCATCTGCACTGTGTAAGCAGGAAATCATGGGTTTGAATCCTACCTGAGCAAGCTTGTGAACTCACTTGATGCACTTATATCACACTGAGTATACAGTGTGAAAATATTCCTTGGCTTTTTGGTAAAATCTCGTATGCAAAATCAAGTGTATCAAATGTCTTGATATTGATTGTCTTAGAGACGTGCATGTCAAATATTCTTCTTGTATCCTGTCATGTATTTTCTCCATCATGCAGTCACACCAAGCCAAATTTGTTCTTTTGGTAGAATGTTGCCCCTTGGCAATTTAGTGTGCATTTGATCAACCGAAATAAGCAACTTGTGAGATATTTTCAAAACAACAAAACTGAATCAATATTCATACAAAGCTGCTAATGTGAAAGTACCTTCATTTGCAGTTGCGGACAGTGGAGAAGCAGTGTTCAACACCACATGCGGGGTTATTTTTGCAAAGCTGTTGTAGTGTAAAATGTGATAGGTCTTACTGTTTGTCATTGCAGACACTGAAGATGCCAGCGAGACTGATGCGGCTAAACTTGAAGAAGAATTCACAGAAATGAAAGAACAGTAAGATTATGTGTTCAAATTGGAAATGTTATCCTGAGTTTCTTTGATGTACCGTTTGTAATGCCAACTGGTCTAACCCTCATTCATTTGCACAAGATGTTGTCAGGTTATGTAAGTACATGTGGAACCCAGAAGTGGTTACTTCACACAGAATTTGATGTCCCAGGAAAGTTTCAATTGCAAAGGGCATGGATTTGTAGGATTTGGTTAAGGCTCATAGCAAAAATACCTCAGGGTCAGAACTTGTGACCTTGCAGACATTAGACGTTACAAGTTCAATTGGGAAAAAATATCTTAAGGTGGCTATTGAAAACTTGTCTTTGAATTGTCTTCCCCCATTGTCAGAATGTACAAAGAGAAGCTAGCCTCGTTAAAGAAGCAACTGCAGAGTCTGAAGGATGGGTCCCATCCCGAGCTGAATCGTAAGCTGAAGAAACTCGAGCAAGTTAACAAGGAGCGACTGCGCATGGCAGAGGCGGCCCGAAGCTGCGAGGTAAATCACTTTCAAAACAAGACCAATTCTTGGACCATATATTCATCGTGAAAAACAGTACCGTTTTTGTCTCTGTTCCACTTTTTTTTAATAAGGAGGCGTTGAGTTTTTTGTGAATTAATGAATCAATGTGAAGCTGGGATGTGTTTATGTTGCTGCATTTGGTTGGCATCATGGTTTCCCTTGTGAAAGAATTTCACAACAAAATGGAAGACTCCTGCAACTATTTTTTACCTGAAACCCAAAAGTGAGCTGTATAGTTATGTGGAATGCTCAACCTTGGGCATTTTTTGTGTTGCTTCTTTAATCTAGTTTATCAACTTCTTTGGTGGCATTAAAGATGACTTCCAATCGCAGGATTTCCTTCCATTCGCAGGATTTCAGGCCTCTCAAAGTTTTTAAATGCAGTGGCAAAGGGTACATTTACATTTGATCAAATTGCAAGCAAACTTGTCACAGCTCTACAAATCTCTAGTAGTTATGACGCTGCGGATTAAAAAAATCACTCCTCTGAATGTTGCAAGCAATGCCAAACGACAGCAGATTGATAAAATGTTCTTTTGTTGTTGTATTTATGCACAGATTGAAGCTGTGGAGCGTGAATACATCCGAGAGAAAAAGAGCGCAGTGGCCGATATGGAGGTCAGGAAAAATTCCTTGTTTTATTTTTTTTAAACCCTCCTGGTGGATGTGGCTCGTTCCCAATCCGCCCTGAGCGGGAACAAGAGAGGGCATTTTTTCACACGGAAACGATGGTCTTTTGGGGGGAACTCACAGTATGAGTGTGCAAGTTTTTGCACATTTGACGTGGGGCGCAGTGAATACCGGCAACCGACTTATGTTGGAATGTATGGAATCTGTGTGTGCGCCCGGTGCGCGCTTGAGCCTGGTTGGAATAGGCAGTTCAGGTGATTTTTAAATACTTTTCATAAAACTCTAAAACAAAGATGAAGCTAAAGAGCATGGCATCTACATTCAAAAGGTGGAATTTTTTTCTAAATCAGCCAAGCGGTTCTCAAGATATACTTATTTCAATTCCGGAAAAGCATTTTGCTGTTATGACTCATTTATGGTGGGTTCATTTTGATACAGATTTTAAACACAGATTATAAATGCATGTATTTATCATTTAAAGCAATGTTCAATAAAAAAAATTGGATATTTAATTAGTAATTTGCATAATTAATTGTCAAACTATTACAAAATAAAGGGATTTTAAGCCTGTTTGCAACTGATGTGTCTTTTTTGGTTGCAGTTATCAAGTGGTTCTCGCAAACTCATAGTTGGTTCAAGAGATCAGTTGACACAGACTTAATTTGCATAACTAATTACAGCAAATTATCATGAAAGTACATACATTGCTCACTTATCCTATCTGCTTTGCAAAATCTCTGAACTTTTCAACATTTCTGTTACTGATCTATGGCTCATGTTTTGACACAAAGCTGTTGCATGGATTAATTACCGGTACAAGTCGAACAGACCTTACTAATTAAAATGAATTAACGCAAGGACATTAATTTCTCCATTTGGAAAAATGTGTGCAATGCTATAGATTTTGCGCAAGAATGTTTTGAACTTTCTCGACAAGTTTTAGACATGTTAGTGGAAACTTTTATTTCCTGTGTAATAATTATTATATGGAAATCGATTCATGAATAAATTGTACACTACATTGAATGTCATGTTAGAGTTACAGTGTACATGCCAGAGCTAAGATTGCCCATCTGAATTTAAAAAGAAGGAAATTCGTGTGCCTTGCAATCAAGTGTTGCAGGGCCAATAGTCGTATAACCTGAGAATCATATGTCACACCCAGCCTTCATATTGCAATGCATGTATGAATGAAAACAAGGTAAAATCCAATCCAAAGTTTCTCATTCCCTAATGAGGCATAGAAATATGCACGATTTAGGCTGTGATGTATAAGGCTGACATGTCTGACTAAAATGAAATAAGCGCTATGCCTACGTAAAAATCAACCAGTCAAAAACCAAATATATAAACATCACTTATTAATAATCGCATTGAGCAGCAGTTTTCAGTATGTTAAATAATAATAATAACATACCTTCCTCATACCAGCAAAAGAAAATTGACCTGAAGGAGAACCTGCTGATTGAACTGGAGGACAAGAGGCGGATGATAGAGGGCGACAGACTGACCATGGAACTGACGTCGCGTGAGTTGCGCTGCTTCCAAAAGTTTTTAGGGTAGTGCTCTTTGCCTGTTGACGCTAGCAGCTTTAGTATTCCATTGATGCATGGTTACTTTCGGCCACAGGGGATAATTCTGGGCATAACCTTAGCGGCCAAAGGCAGATCCAGCGTTTACAAGGGGGGGAGGTGGAATGCATCCCAAATTGAGCAGGAGTGAGATTCGTCAGGAGTTCTCCTGATTTCAGGTTTTTCTCATCTGGATTTTCCGTATTTCAAGATTTCGGAAATGATCTCTTTTAAACTGTAGGGTTTACCATTAAATTTTTTTTGATGAATAAAGTTGATGTTTAGCACAAGAAATGGGTATTTTAACCACTTCATGCCGGGGCATTGGATTTAGGTTGGATTTTGATAGTAGAGGGAAGCTTACTGCCCTACGGATTCAAATATGTCGGTTGTAATCGTAAGACAAATCCCAATGGTTTTCTTTCCTTTTTAAGTGGTGGACCCTTTGGAGGTAAAACCTGCCAGCACTCGCAAGCTGAGACGGCGACAGAACGAACCAGTTCCTCTACCCGAGAAGAGACGGAAACCATCACCAGATATCCTTGAAATTAAAGTGTAACCAAGGTTACACCTCACAAAATCCTATGGATAACGAATCCCGAAAACCAGTCAACATCTCAAAACACCTGTTAATATCAACCTATTAATGACGACCTATTAATGACGACCTATTAATGACAACCTATTATCGTATCAAAAGAAGTTTGTAACCCCGACGTACAAAACATAAAACAATACGGTAAAGTTACGACTTAACAATTGTTAAGATGATTGCAAAACAGTTTCAATCCTACATCATCCAACAAAATCCTTGGGATTCGATTTAAAATACTGAGGTTTTGTTATTGCGCTCAGTAGCTTCTTATGTTTATATCATAGGAAAATTTTGTTTTGGAAAGTGGGGTCTTGTCTTTAGATTTCGAATCACAGTGTGAAAAATGATTTGAGTTCGACAAGAGTCATCTTTCCTCCTAAGCTAAACTGAATACTTACACGGGGGAGAATTCTGGATTTGATTTCATGGATTCAAGCAAACATTAGATAGATTCTCTTGGATTCAGCAGAGTGCCTTGAGACAAATGGGATGATTAGTTAAATGAAGGGGGGAAGTTGTGTCCAGACTTTCGGCACGAAATTCNCTTAAAGTCGGCTTTCGGAAAGAAATTCCCGCCGAGAAGGGGTTAAACTTCTCTTTAAAGTTTGTAAACATTAAGTCAAAAGCAAGTTGAAGGAAGAAATTGAAAAATGGGAGGGGGTGGGTGGATGCCCCTTCAGGAGAATTCTCTACTGGCGTCTTAGTAACTGTAAAAGATTTTTTTTTTAATGCGCTGCATGACAAGGTTGCAAGTTTCATTAAGCAAACCTAGCTCATTTTATTTGCAATGTGTTTGCAACTTATTTCTCATTTTCCATTGGATTTAACAAGGTCTTATTTATGCCTGTTGTATCTTTGATTTCAATGAATTAAAAAAAAACTAGATTCTAGGCTCTAATTTTTCCTGTCACATTCGTCCCGGTTTTGTTAAGCACAGCAAGTGTTCCTTTGTGTAATGCACAATGTTGGATTTTGATAGTAGAGGGAAGCTTACTGCCCTACGGATTCAAATATGTCGGTTGTAATCGTAAGACAAATCCCAATGGTTTTCTTTCCTTTTTAAGTGGTGGACCCTTTGGAGGTAAAACCTGCCAGCACTCGCAAGCTGAGACGGCGACAGAACGAACCGGTTCCTCTACCCGAGAAGAGACGGAAACCATCACCAGATATCCTTGAAATTAAAGTGTAACCAAGGTTACATCTCACAAAATCCTACAGATAACGAATCCCGAAAACCAGTCAACATCTCAAAACACCTATTAATATCAACCTATTAATGACGACCTATTATCGTATCAAAAGAAGTCTGTAACCCTGACTTACAAAACATAAAACAATACAGTAAAGTTATGAATTAATAATTGTTAAGATGATGGCAAAACAGTTTCAATCCTCCATCATCCAACAAAATCCTTGGGATTCAATTTAAAATATTGAAGTTTTGTTATTACACTCAGTAGCTTCTTATATTTATATCAAAGGAAAATTTTGTTTTGGATAGTGGGGTCTTGTCTTTAGATTTTGAATCACAGTGTGAATAATGATTTTAGTTTGACAAGAGTCATCTGTCCTCCGAAGCCAAACTGAATACTTACACGGGGGAGAATTCTGGATTTGATTTCATGGATTCAAGCAAACATTAGATAGATTCCCTTGGATTCAGGAGAGTGCCTTGAGACAAATGGGATGATTAGTTAAATGAAGAGGGGAAGTTGTGTCCAGACTTACGGCACGATATTCCNAACCACATTATCGTCATTGGTTGTCCTTAACCGGCCCTCACCTCAGTTTTGCTTTCTCTTATCTGACGAAGAGATCGCCAGCGATATGAAAGCTTTGAACAAAGTTAGTACCGGTAACCAACAGTTCAGGAAGAAAAAGGTTAAAAGTCAAGCTCCTTCGATCCGTTAATTGGGTAATCTGAGATTGCACTAATAATCGGGGATCCCCTTGAAAGTTGAGGCTAACCACCTGTTGATCTTGGCGTCTGGTCTAAAGGGGATCAGTTGACAAAAAAAATGTCAGAGTACATCCCAGGATTTGGGGACAAGCCTAAACTTTGAGGAATACCTCCAGTGTAATGCTTGCTTCATCCTCACCTCCATCCCAGGGCGCTGGGAAGGGCAGCTGTTTCAGGATGCATGATGTCGCTTTTTGGGTTGAGTAGTCATTAGACCGAGTAACGAGTCATTACCTATCACTGTACGTAGAGCAAGTACACTGAGTGTGCACGTGTTGCAAATAGAACAGCACGTAACCCACTTTGCTTTGCGCACCTGCATCTGTGACATACTTCCTTCTCTAAATTCTGTGAAGGATACCAACCCTTCCTAACACCCTGTAAGGACAGTGGGGACGAATAAACACCCAACACCCCAAGCACTGATCCCTGGATAACAGTCTTGTATGCCCTTTCCTTGTGTCACACTTTTCACTGACACTTGACGGTTTGACTATGCACACTTCATGTTTACCTGTTCTTCACCTGTTCTTTAACATCTGATCTGGTCACACCCACATCTGAATGACCTTAGGCATGCTGTATTTTGGGCGTGCAGTGTTGGAATATCAGACTGGCTCATTGAATCAAATGTTACTATTGCATGATTAGTCATCACATAACTAATTCATCAACTGTTTACAAATTAATTATGAATTCGGTTTTAGAAGCCAATTTGAGTGTATCCAATCGTATGTTTGTTTCTAGAAATCTAAATCTGTGGAATCCATATTTAAAAAACTTGATACCTTCGTGCTCTCAACCCCCTAGTTTTATTTTACACCAAAACATCTGCCAGGCTATTTTATTTTCAAAGCATATATTTCACTGTAGTAATTAATGGCAACCTTTTCATCCGTCAGTAGCCTGCACTTACTCATTTCTTTAACCTCCAGTAGTTTGTTCGGTTTGTGTTCCATGTTTTCAGCTCAAAATTCTTTGCTCACTGCATCGCTTATGAGGGACCAGGGTGTTGGCTTAATCGAAATGTTTTGAAGGGTGTGGAAGTTTCACTTCAATGTTCACCAAATGGACGTGGGTCTTTCCCTCATCCGTTTCAGTTAGAGGTATTGTTATAATATTGTTTTCTCCCAAATTTCTCATGATCCTCCAGCAAATCAAGGCAGCCTCCAATAAGAAATCTTCAGGTAAGATTTGTGTCGTAGAATACTTGCTCCACTCTCTTTTGCTAAACAACATCCAAAATATGGATTTGAATGGGATTTATTATTGTATTCACATTGTTTTGGACTCCCTGTAATTCTGCTATCCCATTAACTGCATTTAAATCCTGCCAAATAGGTTCAGTTGGTTACTTGAATGACAGTAGATTTGTTGGAAACACAGACATTGAGGGAAACATTTTAAGGGCCTTGGTATTTTGAAATACGGTTGTTAAAAGTTGCTTGCATTTAGAAACAAATGGAATCATTCTTCATTTCCTCTTCTTCCACCCCCCCCTCCCCACCACAGTTGCCCCTAACAATAAGCCCCACGCACCAACCAACAACAACAACAGCAACATCCCCAGCGGCAGCACAGCAAGTACCAGCAGCGCCCCCACCCAGCCCAAGTATGTCGTGCGTATCGCCGACAGCAAGCTGTTCTACGAGAAGCGTTGGTTCCACCGCGGCCAGAATATCTACGTGGATTCCAAGGATACGGGCAAAGTTAGCGCTGTCATCAGCTCCATTGGCACAAATGAGGTGAGTACCTGGGCCAATTTAATGCAAAAGGATCCCTTAGGATCCAGAGAGGGGTGGATTCTACTGCCTAAGATCTGGACTATCCCAATCTTGTCGAAATTTGGCCTGCGTGTATCCATTGTGAGTACTTCAGCAAAGTTTTAATTCGATCCAACAAGGAGTTTTCTTCTGGTCATTCACATTAGACACATACATGTAGCGTTGTCCATGGAGCACTTAGAAAGGTTAAGAGTGGTCACTTGGAAAGGTTAGGAGATATCTTGGCTTGTCTTGGAATCCAAACTTTACTGATGAATGGTTTATAGTAAACTCCGGCTAGGTCGGCACCCTCGGGACCCCTTTACACGAAGGCCGGCTTCTACTGAAGTTGTCATTTTGCTGACATACATGAAATGATGACCTATGCTTACATGTACGTAAATGTTTGATATGTAATTGGGTTGCAACAGTCAAAATATTTAGTCCAAGCATGGGAGAAGGAAAAAAATGAAAACCTGAAACATTGTTTGCAATGTTCCGAAGTTTTACAATGAGGATTGGATTTTGTGGTCCATCAGTGAGAATGGAGTGCCTGCATGTACATAGACCGGTAATTGCCGCATTCGCTCGGTGACAGCCCAACAGAAAATCAAGCTCTATCAGACTGCTGAAAATATGTGCACTAAAACCTTCAAAACACATGAAAGTGGAATACCTGCTCATTGAGGGGAATCTGGTTTTGTGAACTAGCTCATTCGCTGAAGTATTTCAGAAGTTTTTGGTCGCTTAGTGTTTTCAGTGTGTATCGAAGTTTGGAATGTACCTCGAATTGTCGCGGGCATCACTGGCTCCCAGCCATTTCATGCTGTTCTTTCTATTTTTTTTGTGGTAGGAACCCGTGTGCGATTCCATCGCACCACGCTCGCAACACAACTTGTCTCTTGCTTGGGCCGTGGGAATGCAGAAATTACCAAATCTGATTCCACATACAGTATCCTCATATTACAAAATATATATCATATGATATTTGGCAGGAAAAATCCATACAATTTTACAAGGCATGTTCATGTGATATCCTCTAAGTGTACACGTGCTGGCAGAGAAAGATCTGGGGTCCATCCATTGTGGCAGTGCACACAACGCCGCACTAGGACTTGTCCTAACTGTAATGCTACATGAACACCTATGCAGCGATCATGGACTGTGCTAATAAACAGACATCGCTGTGTGACTTGTCAGTTACACTTCTTGCCAGCTGCAGTGCAGAAGTCGATTTTTTTAAAGCAGACTTATGCAAAGGATTTTGTTGTGCTTTTTGTGGAAAATAGCACCTAGAGTAACACGTGGACTTAGGCAAAATGACAACTTATACAAGCCGACTTAGAATTAAACATTTTTATGGAAATGCATTAGAGACGATCTGGACTTTTGTAAGACTGCCAAGTTGTACAATGTTGACTTAGCCAGAGTTTACGAGATGTCTGATTTTTAAAAAATGTCAATGTGACCACAACACTTCAGCATAAAAACTCACAAACAATTTTGCACGGCACTGTAAAAAATGTGTTGGGGTGATATTGGAGATATATTGTAAAGGGGGCAGATTCTGCCTCGTCCCACCCCAGCTATTCTAGGGTTAACTTTCACCCAGATCCTTTAAAAATCACTCAGAAGGTGTTGGGAGATCCAAAGGAGTGAGAGGGCAGAGCCTAGCCAAGGTGCGATAACTTCTCAGTGAAGGAAGGCTTCTCATTAGCAATTGCTTCCCCAGCACTGGAGTGTGAGAATCAGATGATGGTTTCATGTGCATTCGCTGTTTGCAATGCTTTATGGGCTTGATGAGCAGGGGTAATGATTTTAGTACCCGTGTTAGTAGTGGACAAGTTCACTTCATCAATACGTGTTATTACAAATGCATAACAACTGCCAGTAACTGCATAAAAATACAAAGATTCACTATTTGTAAATTGAGTATTGTCTTTGAGAATTGGCTTGCCATTGTGAGAAAATATTTTGACCTTTGTCAGTATTGGCTATTTTTGTTTTCCTGTAATTCATCCCACAGATTTGGGTGAGGAAAACGGCCGACAATCAGAAGATGAGGATCTACGTCTCCCAGATGCAGAAAGGCAAATACAAGATCCGGAAACGGTCCACCTGAGACGACAGCTCCTCCCCTGCACTCAACCCCTCCCTGTTTGCATGGACTCTCATCCAAGTCCAATGCCACCCCAGTAAGAATACATCCCAATTTGGAATACTGTACAGAACTTTGAACATTGTAAATATTATATCAGTGGTTAGGTGAAAAGTTTACATTTTTAAGATGTGACCTCAATAATAAGATACCGGTAATGAGTTTGTACGGAATTTCTGCAGTTTCGTATGAGAGACAGTCAACACTCGAACATTAACTGCAAAGATATGTGAAATGATGGGAAGAAGGCTCCTGAAAAGTCAAGAGTTTCCAGATGAAGTTGTTCCTTTTTTGAACCAAGGCAAAATGGTTGAATTTGAAGCTCGTAAATATCTTCCCAAGTTATCAGTCTAAAACTTCGCCGCGCGTTTTTGAACCATCTCACTGCTGAGGGAAGGAGGATTTCACTCATTCCAAGATCTCGGCTGCCCAAGCCTGATCATGCTGAAACTTGGCATGTTTGTAGACATTTCTTATGTGTACATCTATGAATTTTCAATTTAATTTGAGTAATAGTTTTATGGTCAGTTGTTCAGTATGGTCAGGGCTTCACATTTATTGCCGAGTGCGCTTTGAGCACGTCACTAGGGAAAAGTTAGCATGTCTGGTTCACCCGTCTTGGAAAAACTCTGTGTCAAATGATCAAGAGTCATTACTGGGAAACTCTTCAAGGTTCAGCCCCAAAGCACTGTGACAGTATCAGGGGAAATGCTGAGGCCAATACATAACTTTTTGGGAAGTCCAGGAGGAAATATGGGTTTTTTTTTTCTTTTTTTCAAGAGCATAATTTTTGTAAGGAACAGAGACCTGCAGAACTTTATTTCCTGTCTGAACTAAACATCATTCCACTTGAACTCAGTCTTTTTTTCAGCCATGCACAATTCAATTTGTTGCTGAAAAGTTTCATATTTGGTAACGTTGGCAATGACATGGATCATAGATCTTTTGTAGACAATTTTTTTCTATGGCACTATAAACATAGCCACATCAACTTGTGAAATAAATGATTGTGTCTAACCACCAATTCCGTTTCCATTCAACCCTATTTTTATAGTTTGGAAAAGGTATCTGTAATTACCATGACTTGTAAGGAAAACAACTTCAAACAAATCAGTTAGTTCCATTATTGATTTTATTTAAAGGTACTTGTCTTGAAGTCAAAGTGTTGACTATGTTGGTATGTCTTAAAAGACAAAAAACACAAACTGAAATTTCTTAATAACCTTCCTGGTTTCCTGTTTGAACTTGTAGACAACTACTTTAATGAAACCTCCTTTAGACCTAGAATTTGATTCTGATCAGTCAATGAAAAATAATGACTGATTGTTATGGAAATAAACCCTATGTCTTAATATAAGTGCTAGTAACTTTCAATGAATTCTTGAACTGCCAGAACAAAAATGCAAAGATCATTTCATATTTTCAGTCTCAATACTTGTATTTGAAATTTTCAGATTTCTGAAACAGCTCAAGAGCCTCATTGTTAACATTATCCAACTGCATGGTGTGCTGCATGAAAGTCCTTTCAACTTATCTTCATTAACCATATGCTGCCGGGGAGCCCGGTTTCGGGCACATAGGCTTTACACACAAAACCGGGGAGCCTAAAACCGGACAAAAGAGCTGGGCCTTGTAACAAAAGACCGTACTCGGAACAAAAGATGGAGCTGCTGGGAATTGCTTACATGTTTTCAGTTGTCAATAGCGGAGGAAATCTGTCCGTATTTTGAGAGATTATATCACTGTTTGTGGCATTCAGCACAAGCAGATTACCACCGGGGACAAAAGCGCTCCAGTGATAAGCGATATGATACCGCTGCACGCTAATCTGGCCCCTATTGAAAAGACGTCAGCAGCGCATTGTGCCAGCTTTGGGAACAAAACAACGTTACATAACACCGCACAATCTGGGCTCTTTTTACAAGGCGGCAGGCCTGGCTGAAATACTTAGGTGTCAGTAGATGTTGTCTGTCAGGCTAGAGTGGACACCAGACAGTCCTTCACGTGTTTGTAAGTGTGCTGTGTGGTTCATCGCTGCGGTGGTGGAGCGCTTTTGTCCAGGGTGGTAATCCGCTCGCTCTAAATGCCCCCAACCGTGGTGTACTGATTCCAAACAAGGCTGGATTATCTCCACTTTTGAGAGTGAAAAAATGTCGGCAATGCCCAGCAGCCTAGTCTTTTGTTCCGAGTACAGTCTTTGGTTGCAAGGCCCTGTTCCATTTGTCCGAGTTCGGAGAGCCCGGTCACACATATAAAGTATACGTGTCCGGATCCGGAATCCCCGGCAGAAAGTGGTTATTAAGGCCACAAAGCTGAAACTATTTGTGACATCACTCATTTTAATTAAACCAGGCGCCCTTCGTGGGCAGCGCTGCTTAAAAAAATTACAAGGGGGGGATTTAAGAGCCTGGGAGAGAGTTGGCATGAACGTATGATCTGTAAAAATAGAGACGCATCACTGTGACTTGTAACAAATGCGAGGGTACTGATTGTATGAAACAACGTTACTTGAGGTCTGAAGAGCGCCTGACAGAATGTAGTCGGGGAGCTGGAAGACTTACCGTTGAGTAAAGTAACGATACTGGGCGTTGTACTTGTAAGGCTTGGACCGTCCTCTTCCCCTGGGAACCAAGAAAAAAATACAAACATGGAAAAATTGAATGAGCCCAGAGGCGACAAGTGTTCTCCAAGAGGAAAAAACTTGGGCATGAAACTGGATAGGTAAGAAAAACATTGTAATTCGTAATAGTGCAAGATTTGGTTCAGTGGTTCTGAACTTGAAATGGCTTAGTAAAACAGGAAGTGAGAAAGCCTCAAGCTTACCCATTCTTTTTTGATCTGGAACCCGTCAGGTGGGTGGTTTTCAACATGATAAAAATACCAAAAGGTTAGAAACACTTCAGTTTTTATGAAATTTTGATTCTTATTATATGGGACTGTAACCGTCAAAAGTCACAATAATTATCACGTAGGCATGCGTACGTGCCCTATCACACTTTAATGTCTTTCAAAAAAGCTCTATGCCTCATAAAAAGCAATCGACAATTTCTACGAGCTTTAGATCTCAACACTAAATGAAAAGTCGATCCAAATGCCACTAAACCCTGTCTCCCCCCTCCCCGATTCCTAACTCCGCCTCCTCAATATACCTGGTCAGTCTGATGAACATCTTCTCCCGGGCAAATTCAGTGGGGCCCTCCGCCCCGTCGCCCTCCCCCTCCCGTCGTGTCTCCACGTACACGTCAAAGCACATGAGCAGGCGTTGCAGCTGACTGGACAGCAGGTAGTCGTGGGACTTCTCAGTGACTAGCTCATCGTAGTGGAGATTCAGTTCTGATTCTAAATCCTGGTTTGAGAGGAATATTCGCCGTTCAACAAAAAAATACCTCCATCATCTACCTATCCTGACCATAAATCATCACACAAAATACTGATTCAATTTAAAGCCGTCCTGTTGAGGGAAGCTCTTTTAGTATCTCAAACTACATTCTGAAGTACTGGAATCCTTGCACCCGTACCTAACTTGAACTTGTTTTGCAAGTTTGGAGGAATATACCACATTCAGATGAACACTGAAAACTATTAAACCCCGACACCATTAAAATCTCAGATTTGACATTATGGCTCCTTTGTGCCACAATGTAACAATGCATAAACAGTCTACTGTGCTTATTGGACTCGTACAATAACCAGGAAGACTGCATTCTTTGAAGTAATTTGACTTTTCTTGTACTTTGTCACAATTGTGTGCTCTGAGAAGGAGTCGGAAAGGAGCATTTTTAAGACTGGCTGGGCTTTGGAAGCTGGTAATGACACGATCGCAAGTCCAGCTGGTTTCAAACGTACTTGTTGGAGACTGGTCAAGTACGTATTTATTTGGTGGAGTGTCAGTACAGCATCCTGGTCAATGGTCCCACTCACCCGGATGTCATTGTCATTGCTGTCATTGTGCTCCCCAGTCAGCGTGACACCAACAAGGATGTGAGGAGGGCATCGTGGGTAGTCCACACTCAACAACACAGCCGCTTTCAGAATCGCTGTCAAAAAAAAAAAACAATGTAGTGGTTTACAGCAAGGAAGTTCGTCAACTCGTACTTTTTGTTCAAGTTTGGGGCACATGAAGAATGAGAAAGGGAAATCCTTGGATCAGCTGATTTCCTCATTCTTCACTTGACATTCATGCAACTGAAAATTGAAAAACGCTGTACAAAGTCTTGCTAAGATTGGAATTTCCTCAGGTTTTTTTTTTCAGTCAGAGTTCAACTTGCACACCTGGAAATGTCAAATTTAAATGAGGGCTCTAAAATCCCAGGCAAACATTCCTCCAAACACACATTTGTAGAAAATACATGTAGGTTATTTTTTTCCCATTGTAGTGAACTGTAAAAGTTTGTCACGTTTTTCGGATGATTTAAAAAATCAAAATTAACCAAATCCATATTAGATGCCCTTTTTTTAGATCTGTTATTTATTTCTTCTGAAATGAAAACTAGGCTTTGTCTGTCTTCCGGCTTTTGTAGCCAACATTTGAAATCCAGGAATCAGGCCAGATCACAAGTGTCAATGACAAAGGGGTTTGAGTGGAATAAAAAAAACTCAAAATAGCTGAAATCGCAAGCACAAAGCATATATGGCACAGGGACAATTTTGAGATGTTGATGCCCTATGGTGCATTTTACAGCCTCCTGGTGTAACCATTGATGTTTTTTTCTTGTAATTTAGGCAGTGCATATTTTTAATTTTACTTTTTCTTCATATTTGTCTGAAATTCCTGAAGAGGTACATACATGTGTACGGACAACACTAATTTTTCCTTTAAAATATTATAACAGCTATCAGAAAGTGAAAACTTTCTAAAAGTGAAAAATAGCTGAGAAAATTCTGAAGCATTTACATGTACTTAGAAAACAGGTTCTTTTTTAAGAAGTCTCGTAGGTTTCTGCACAGAGGCATGAAGTGTTGTCTGTATATGGAACCCTTTCCAAATGAACTAGTAATAGGTATGCCAAAATTGTAACTATCGAGGTTTGTAGAGTGAGTTGGCCCTTTTCCCACCTGATCTGAGCATATTTTCAAAATTTCAATTCTTGAAATAATACACATCGCGTGGGTACGTCATGTACATCGCATGTCCAGGCATTTGGATTCTCCAGGTGCGGTCCGCGCCATGTTGTGTTGCCTGCCCATCACGTCTACGGTTCATTTCCACGCCGGATTTAAAACTAGAGGATCGGTCTTATCAAAGGCTCTATCCAAGTCGGAACCTCTTTGGACAATTTTTACATGTGTTGCACTGATATCACGATGAGTTTATGTCCCAAAATTGTTTGAAAGCCCATACAAAACGATGCGAAACCGCTCGAGAATGCACAACCCAAGAACCTTCTGTGCCCCTTACCAGTTGTCACCAAGCCCTCTATCACACACAGAAAGCAAAAATTAACTAACCTTACTTCAAGCCGCAAAGTTACAATGAAATTTGTATACAACCATCAGTTATAGTGGAGCTTGTTTGCCACTACTTCTGCTCACACAAAAACGGCTGCAACGAGTCCCACTGACACACATATGAATATTGATATTTCATTGGCAGCCAATCACAGCACAATGACACAATGGACCGGGAATGCTGTTTCAACACGAGGCTTTATCCGCGCCAGATGCCCGTACACAGATCTGTATACACAGTACGTATGGGCATGCACGTACATGTACAGTGTACATGTACGTTGTACAGTAGATTCAGTCGCATGCATTGCGGTGCTCCAGTACTGCTCTGTGTCGGTTCGGCCTGACCATCGCATCAATAGAAACAGAAAAAAAAAATGAAAAAATGGGCACTTGCAAAAGGAAGAAAACCAACGAAATCTGGCCCACCAATAGCTAGACAGCGGAAAATTAAATTCAGCATTTTCAAGAAAAAAGTAGAAATCTGCTAAAAAGCGGAGATTTCACACGCCTAGACATGAAACAAATACTTTTGTCATTTTCCATTTGAGTAGCTTGTGACTTGCGATGGATTAGCACTTACTTCATGACAACTCTGACTCTCCAAAATAACTTTTCCGTTGTTTAAGTATGGCCAACTATTGTTTGTAAAAACTGTGGCAGATGACAGAACCACTGAACAATCCTTGTAAACATACCCGATCCTCTTGAACAAGTCGCCAGATAAAAATGCTGGTAGTCTTCGGCGAGGTCTAGGGTCGGAGAGCCCTTCAAGAAGGGTAGAGCCTGAAAAACAAAGTCACAGAAAAACCTGGAGTTAGAGCAATATGTACTACATGGTTCAGCCATCTTGGTCTGGCACCCAGAAGCAAGTAGATACTTCCTGCCTCAATTTCAGAATACTCTGCCTGCATTTGCTGAAGGTACGGTGTGGTATCATCTTGCGGTGTTATATTCGAGTCCATCACAAGGCCATTACAAGCCATTCAGTCTTAACCCCTTCACACTGGGAGATGGCTGTAGCCGCATGCTACACATGCAACTGTTATTCAGTGTACGGGGACATCAGTAAAATTTTTACAGGGAGCTTTGCATTGAATGGAAATCTGGGGCAACTTGGAGAGTTGGTTGATCCCTGATATTTAGTAAATGGGAATTTATTTTTTCATCACAACACCCCACTGTCTTTGATTGAATACCCTGGGTGATCTCCATGGAGCGTCGCTCGAAGCAGCAGTCTGGGCTCATGCAACACGCTTTGTGTGGGCTCGGAGCGTGATGAATACAGGCCATTGACATGGTGTGCGCGCGATTGTTTACGTCCCTGCTGGGCTCTGAACACGTGGACAGCACCCCAGCACCATGAACTAGACAGGCTAATAGACAGGCCATTGTTCAGCATAATTGGACATTTGTTTTGTCACAAAGCAGCGTTTTCTGTAGTGCTGGATATATATTTGCTCGGCCATTTCCTGATCCTTCAGTTGCATTACATGATGTCTTAAAGTGAAGAGGAAACTCTGACAGTGACTAGTGGTTCAGATTTCACGTCAGAAATTGAAACTAGTGACAGCGATTCTAATGGGCAACCACCGTAAGCGAAGCCTGCCAAGGTCAAGACTTCTTCGTCCATTCAATGGACAGATGATGAAAACATCTCCTGCCAACACGGCTTTCAAGGCACAGCGGGTGTTCAAGTGCAAGAACTGGACAAGAACAGCACTCTTCTCGAAATCTTTGAGCAGTTCTTCACCCCAGAGCTGACGTTGCCCAATTGCCAACGAGATGAACCGCTATGCCACTGAACACGCAAAAAATTTGTCTGGTGCTTTTCTTGTGTCTGTTTATTTTATAATTATGGAGAAGATTATTATTTTTTCATGGAACGGTTCCAAGTTTACTTAGAAGGGGCTGTTTTATACCATTACATTCAGAAAGGGGATTTGAACACACCTTGCAAAAAACAAAACTTGGAATTGTGTGAGAAAAATTATGTGCAAACTTTGCACAAGATAAAAAACAGGCAAATTTTACGGGTAATGTTAACTGGGTATGAGATAAAATAAAAACTTATGAAGCGCACTCTATGTATAAGTGGGGGCTGGGCATTGATGCTGGGCATGTATGGACTACTGGGGAGTGAGCACAAGAGCCACAGTGCCCGCCTGTCGCAAGCATAGACCGTGTGAACTTAGCGGGTGCTGCACGCTCTGCTTTGGCCGAGCGTCGTTGGGTAGTTAGTGTTGTTACGTTGGCAAGGCAAGTGCTGGGTGTCTGGTATTACGTTGGACGGGATCCAAATACCCCAGCAAGAATCATGGCCACACAGAGCCGGGCTGTGTGCAGTGTGTGACCCAGCAAACTTGGCAGATAAGGCCTGGTGGCCAAGCTCGGTGTCTGCAGTTGCCATTAGCAAAATTGGGAAATTAATCCCGGCAGGCAGGCAGGATGCGGTAAAAAAAAAAAACGCCGTCAAGGGGTTAAGCCAATTCACAAGCTATTCAAATGAGCTAGGACACAAGCATTCTTTGTTATTATTCACCCTTTTTACTTGTGACTGGCCTTGTGACTGGCCTTGTGACTGGCCTTGTGA